GAAAAGGAATCAAAAAGTGAGTAAGAGTATTTTGGTTGGGATTGAAAGGTAAACAAGAACCCTGTTACTTACTTTTTTTGAAAGAAGATCACGAGATCTTCACCGGAGTGAGCCCCATGATAGGTTCCAAGTAAGGGGACTTTGATGCTCTGCTTGAAGATGGTGTCACGTGCCTTTTGGAAGAGGTGACTCCATTGGAGTGGTGGTTTGACCACCCCAGCAATACTTAATAAGGTGGTATTACTCTGGATCGGTTTAGCGGGTGCACTGGTGTGTTTTTCTTCCTTGGATTTACCTTTCTCGGGCTTAGGATGGGATGATGAGTCGTGATCGTCAGGTGATTGGGGCAATGGCTTTTGGTCGGCAGCGGAGAGTGGAGGATTCTTCTGGTGGGTTTGATCAGCTTCGCTCAAGCTCTGAGCTTTGAAGCCTAGTCTGCCGTCCTGGATCCGCATCTTCTGAGTGACGGCTCGACTGAGACCGATGGCCTGTTCGCTAACGAGTTTGCCGATCTGGCCATAGGTTTCCTTTGGGGAGACCGGGGATTCATCGTTGGATCGACTGAGGAGTTGTTCCTTGGATGGGAAACCTTGGTGGTGGCTCATCATCCCACCGGCTGGCGAGAATCGGGAGTCCTCCTCTGCTTCGTCGGCCTCCTGAGTCTTGGAGTCATAGATCTCCTTGAGTTTGATGACCTCCTTGGCCTGTTTCTCCCATCTGGTCAGGATGAGCTCGACCCGATCGATGGCCTTTGTGATCCGTTCCTGATGGTCACGAGACCAAGTTTCGAAGGGCCCGATGACGAGCCTGTCGAGTTGGAGTGCCAGTCTGGCATGTGCATCTGCCAGGTCGGTCTGACTGGAACGCAGCTGTTTGTAGACTGATAGGAATGAGGCCCCGTCGTCGAAGCCGAAGCCTTCGGGGTCGATTGGTGTGGGGGAGCGAAGTTCGTGTGCATAGGCTCTTTCGAATGATTCTCGTTTGCGGATGAAGGCTATGAGTTCCTGTGATTCTTTGAGTCCAGCATTCAGCTTGTCGAATAGGATCGTGGCTCCGCGTCGGTAGTCGGAAGTCCAGAACTGTTATGAGATGAGACATAGGAATGGGTTTGAGTGTGAGCTCAGAGACAGCAGATAGGATGGAATGGATGTGTACGCACCCATCGATCGAAGGTGGCTGGCATCTTTGGGATGGCCGGTGGTGATGTTCCTGCGGTTCCAGTATGGTTGCTTGCCATGTTTTTTGGTTTTTTTGTTGTTCTTGGTTGTGTTGCTCCCTCGGATGGGGGGGATTGGTTGGGCCGAGGTGTTTGTTGGCTTATCATGCCACTAGGCTGAATGTGCCCCTACCGAAAAAAGTGGCTGACCAGATCATCTCTCCCAGTCCCCCCTAGTGTTGATCGGGTTTCACCCGTTGTCTTCACAGCAATCCTCCTTCATCGATCGACTCACTCCCAATCCAGGCCGTCATCACACCTCATGACGGATCGTAGAAGGACCAGCTTAAATAACCTTGGCCATGGGCATAGGCTGTCATCCATTTACATATTTACTTAAAGAAACACCTTTGACTTAATAGTACATCAGTGACTGGTTTGAAGCCTTCATCAGTGACAGACAGTCGAGGGTTTATATTCCTTTATATGGACTGGACTACCTAAACTTGCAAAATCCTTTCTTGAAGTTTGATTTAATTCCTGTTTTTGAGTTTCTGAGCCATTGACGTGACCGTGAGTGGGTGATGCCGATGGACTGGTCGCTGGCGTTCTCTTTTTTTTTTTTTTTTAAAGTGTTATTGATTTGTGGGTGGCGGTGCCGGTGGCGTGGTGTCAGTGTGCGACCGATCGGGATCCCGAGGAGGACCGAAGCAAGGATCGGATATCTCCACACAGACCCACGCCAAACTATAAAAACCATTTCCCCAGACTCCTGAAGGAACTGTCACATCCACTTCCACACACGACTCCTCAAGATTTCCAGTCCGACAGTTCATCAAATTATACACAGAAAGATATTCGCGAGATGGTTACGGGACAGTTAACCCGGTCAGAGGCCGAAGCAGCACTCAAGCGTCTCCAAGGATTGCGGGATGACTGGGCCAAACAGAGGACGCGATGGTCCGAACATCATCAGAAGGCTGCCGATATCAAGGCTCTCCAACGTAATCCTAGCGCTCCTCTGATCTATACCGTCGAGGCTTGTTGTAACCAAATGGGTGTGGCTACGATTCGTTTTAGTTGAGTCCGAACTTCGAAGAGAGAAGATGATTTTTTTTTTTTTTTTCGTTCTGGTGGAATATTTTTATGTAGAGGGGAAGAGGGGGAAGTTCAAAGTGGTACATTCCTAGGTAGATCAAACTGACGTGTTTTTTCCGGATACATTTGTTCGTCGTAGATGAATTGGAGAGACTCATTCAAGATTTCAGATCCTGTGCGCTCTACCTTGTCCATCTACCCGTACCCGAAGGACCAGACGCTTCGTTCCGCTCCGCCCTGCCGGATCTCTGGAGCATCCCACACGCCGCACCTGGGACGACGGCGGTAGCCTTACCTGGCCAAGTGGCAGGCTTCTCGGCCGAGATGGTGCCGGTGAACAGCGTCCAAGGTCTCAGCGATCAGATCATCATGCACCATCCCTCCTATCAGAACCCCGGCTCTGGAGGGTTCTACAACAACAATCAGATCCTAGGCAATCTCCCTCAGATGCAGTACCCTCAGCAACAACAGATCCAACCCACCGGCTTCCAACAGCAACCACAGCTCACCGGCGCGTTCCAAGCACCACAACACACCGGATTCCAGCCCCAGTCAAACTTCCAACTCCAAGCAGCCAACAACCAGATGGGATTCCAGCAGGGCCACCAACTCTCTCCTTACGGAAGCCAACCACAGCCACTGACCCCTCAACATACTCAGATGCTCTACAACCAGCAGATCAACCTTCACCAGCAATCGGCAGACCAGGCCCGCGTCAATGCCTTCTCCGCTAACGTCTTCCAACAACAGCCTGGCTTCTCCTCCGCCCAGAATCATCCTAACCAGCACCAGAACTTCTCCTCCTCTTCTCCCCTCAATCCTTTTAATCCTAATGCTCCTCATGGAGCCGTTGTAGATGCCAGTCAGAGATACCCTGCCGTCCAATGATCATCTTTTCTTCAACCTTCTGAGTCGCACCTCGTATTCCTTTTTTTTTTATCTAAGATCCGGTCGTTTTGTATGATTCTTTCCACCCCTTGTAATTCTGATTTGGAAGAGCTCTTTGATCTCGTGTGTCTAACCGTATAGATTCTCCTCATTTCTCCCGACTATTTAGACCATCGTCCCTCTTCTATGAAATACACCACTGTATTATAGGAATATTCATTTTTTCTATCATCTCACAGTTGAGCCCGCCGAGTTATTGGGCCCCTACAGTCAATAAATCATCATTGTCACTTCAAAAGTATGTATCTTGGACCGGGGAAACTCCCGACAATTTCCTGAACTTTGCATGCATCTATGTAGTGGGACCAAGGTTCGGGAAGAGGAAAGACCGCGGAAGGATCACGGGAGCCGGTCCCCGAACCCGACTGCGTCATCAACTTCTACAGCCAAGTTCAGAGGATCTCCAGCAAAAGAACAAAAGGATGGCAGAGCAGCAGGCCAGGATTTCGTACAGGGCCTATGATGGCGAAAGTGATGATCTGAATCAGATCATCAACTTGATGGAGTCCGAACTCAGCGAACCTTACATCATCGTTGAGCCCCCACCCCTCCCCCCCTTCTTTTTTTTCTCGTCATCGGTCTTTTTTCTTCCTTGATACAGGAACCGACACAGCAGGTCATTGACACACTTCTTTGTCTTCTTCGTTATTTCTTGCGGGATCGGGGCTTTTTTCTTTTCCGGGCCGTGGGTTTCTCAGTACACTTATCGGTATTTTTTGACGAGCTGGTAAGTCATCGCTGGTTCCTCTTTCTTCGAAACGGACTGCAATCACCCGAACCATCCGGACATCATCCCGGCCGGCTTGCTGAAGTGTGATTCCCTTTGTTTCCTTGGTTATCGATCGATGGCCATGGATGGACTTCGGAAAAGGACAGGCCGCATCTCTGTTTTCTCTGTTTTTCAGAGGGCGATGACCCGGGGGGCCATCCTGCCCAGGCGATCGGTGCGGTCGTGTGCAAGCAGGACGTCCATCGCGGCAAGCTCAATCGCGGCTACATCGCCATGTTGACGACCAAGAAAGAGGTCCGGAAGAAGGGGATCGGTGCGCGTCCATCCGTCCGACTTTTTTCCTGAATGCTTCCTGACAGGCTGCAATCCTCTTCCCTTTCTTTCTTTCTTTTTTGCAGCGCGTAAGTTGGTGCAGATGGCCATGCAACGGATGATCGCAGACGGGGCCCAAGAAGTGAGTGTATTGTCCACCATTCGATTCTCTTCAGACGGCGGAGCTCTTAAAAAAACCATCCAATCGAACGCTGTTCTTCTTTCTGTTGGATATATAATAGATCGTATTGGAAACTGAATACGACAACTCGGCGGCACTAGCATTCTACCAAAAGCTTGGCTTTATTAGAGAGAAACGGTTATACGCGTTCTACTTGAACCATAAGGATGCCTTCCGACTTGTGTGTCCGATCCCCGCCGGTCCTGAACATCAAGAGGAAGATCTTTACATCTAAACAACAGGTACTTATCTTACAGGAGATTGTCCCGTGGGTATTGTAATAACTATTCATCACAAATATAGTAAGATGATTGAATATGCGTTGGTCAGGGTGTTTGTCAAAGTGATATGTCAATTTTGAGGAACAACACTGATCAAAAGAGAAGACCTCTCTATCTATCATTCTGGTTGCATCTTGTGGAATGGCTTCCTCCCTTTTTTTAATTTAGTCTTTCTTTTTTAAAACTTATGTATTGACATGATGTAGCCAACAGTTGAGGACTTCCTATTGAGTTTGCAGGCTGTAAAATGGGTTTCCCAGAAAAAAATTAGCTTTGCAGCCTGTAATTCAAGCTTTGCAAGGCCTGTAAAACCAACTGGAAGTCCTCCAGTGCCTTTATCTAATCCAACACTGGCAAGATTATTATCTTTGCTAGTGTGGATGAGAAGATCAGGAAGCTAGGAGGAAGTTTGATTTGCACTCTCTTAAATCACAGGGACATCTTCTCAAAAACAATGTAAATTAACTTTCAATATCTATCTTCTACTTTCCTAAATGCAGGAAACCTTTTCTATTTTGAATAACATAAGAGAGTGTTGGCTTGCACCTTTAGATAAAGTTTGTTTCTTACTTGCCTTTTGGATTGGAAATTTTGTCAATCATTTGTGACTTGTTACATGTGTCAACCCTTGTGGTAAAATCTCTGATAGCATTATCTTTGGGTCAGAAATTCACATTTTTGTTTCCTTTTCATACATCATATTTGTAAGCAGATGGGAAGCAGAGCACAACATCTGCCATTCAGGGCAAATCTCACACATCAGGTTCTGTTGAGTCAGCAAAAACAGTGCAAGAAATCTAAAATTGAACTAAGATCTACAGCCATGGGGAAGATGAGAAGAGGTTTTGCTAAGAGAATCGATGATCCTTGAGACATTTTGAGCTTGTTGGTGAATGATTTTGATGGTTGGATCTGTATCATACAAGTCATACCAACCAGGTGGCTATCCAGAATACAGAGAGAAACGTAAGTGTTTCATCAGATTCTTGCTGGGCAATATGAGCAGGATCAAACTTCAAAAGAATATTTACCTCATGGGGTGGGTCTCCTATGATGATGGTAAAGAATAAAAGAAGAAAGAAATCAAATCAAATCAAGCTTCTCACTACATGAACCCATGATCAGAAAAAGACACTCACCAGACCAGTCTTGATTGAAGCGATCTCTTGAATCAGAAGGTCTCCATATTCCACCATATGTCCATGGCCTTATATCATATTGTGATCCAAAAGAAAAATCAGGTCCAAGATGTTAAACTTTCACCTACTATCTGCAAAAAATATCTATTAGATTTTTGATATAGATCAACAGGAAAACTTGCCCAGTTCCTTGCCATCCTTCATCCTTCTGGAAGTAGTCCACAATCTTAGATATGACTGCCAAGAAGAAATCATCCTTGTGAGTTGTTGTGGCACTTGAGCTACTCCCAATAATGATGAATATTAATAAAAAAAATGTTATCCCGCTGTTAGTTTTGTTTTTGTGGAGGAAAAGTGTGTTTGTCAAGAAATAGTGAGCTCAACTCGTATAGATAATGCGTTTTTGGAGCACCTTTCTTCACGTTCAACCAGTTATCTCTAGCCATACCAAATTCCTCCAACACAAGAGGCTATATAGTCAATAAGCAAACATCATGAACTAAGCATTAACGAGATGTCTTTATCTCTTTCTCTGATCAAAATGATATTTACATACCTTTTTGAGGTCAAGAGTCCATTTGCTTAAATCCTTTAGATACCCATTTGCAAAGATTTTGGCTGCCTTCAAACTCTTCTCAGTTGGGTCCAATGGATCGTAAACACCCTTTCAGAATGGACAGATACCCGTGAGATTTATTAAAATTTTCAACAAGAAAATTGGCAAGTTGTTAGCATATTGTTGGAATGAAGAATTGGTCAGCTTGCAAATAACTTCACTAAATTGTTGACAAGATAGTGGATATATTACCCAGTTCTGAACCCAGAGATGACTGTAAAAGTAGAAGGATGTCCCCAAAATTGGTGAACTTCTTTTGGTTCACTCTATCTGTGTTTTAGGGTTGGTACCACTTATTGAAAGTGAGAAACTAAAAATCACTCACCCGCAAGTGTAATCTACAGAACGGGGTGCATGAACACGTTTGAACCACCACTCACCATTTTTGCCCTCAAAGCCAACAGTAACCAGATGGTTGGGGGCGATGGACTTGATGTAAGTCGATGTATCTTCAACCCTGACCAACATCAACTGCAACATTTTAGAATCCAGTTTCAAGCTAATGAATGTGTAAGAGATGAAGACAGACCATTTGACTGGTGGGTCTTGAGGCTCATTTGTCAACTCCCATGTCATTATGGTCGGATCCTCTTTGTATACAACACCGCTGATCGTGTTCTGACGGTTGACCACGGTGTGGATGTGATTTTTGAACCAAGTTTGAGTCAGATTGGTGATCGAACTGTCGTTGCTGAGAACATGATCGCAATATTGCAAGATTATTGTGAGCACAAGAACAAAACTTGAATGATAAACTGATAATTAAAATAAGAAAATGTAAAATGAGGTTCATCAAGCTCACTAAAACCTTCCAGCATAGCCGACAAACCCGTCCCAATTACCAGTGGCCGGATCGTATTTTCCATAGATACCGCTTGTACTCCAATTGCCATACGGAGGATTCAAGCTTGGATCCCAGCTGGGAAGAGATCACAATAGCCCACCAAAGAAAAAAGAGCATCATCTTCATGAACATACCAATTCAAATGCTTATTTGTTTGAAGAAGCAAACAAGAATGAAGCTTTAATATCATCATCTAGGATAGCTTACGGACTTGCAGGTGGTACTTGAGAATTGTTGGTTGCCCAACTGACGTATTGAGCATAGCCGCCGCTCCAATCCCAGAAGTTATTCAAGGTCATGACGACTGAAATATTGTACCTCGAAAATTCCACTAAAGCTCGATCAAGTCCAACAAACATTTCTTCGTTATCTATTCATGTTCACAGAAAAAGAGAAGTGTTGATCAACTTGTTTTTAGAAATGACATTCATACAATGTCGTTACTTCCAGCACTTGGATTGTGAAAAATGTGAATAGTTTTAACTATTATGTACAAGACACTCACATCTTCCGGGAGCATACATGAGTGCGGGGTAAATCCTATAGGGTGGGTGACCAGCAGCTTCCAAAGCTGCCATCTGTTATGATCATGATTATTATCCATCAATTGCATAAATGTATCCGAGATTGTGCGCGGCAGAAAAAAGGTACATATATCGATGTCCGTGTATTCCTGAACAAGGGAGAGTCAAGTCCACTCCAGGAAACGGGCGAGTGCTTACTATTCTGACGTTATTGACTCCCATCTCAGCTAGCTGTTTGACCTTGATTTTGAACCTCGTGAGGTTACCTCCCGCCGTTTCATCAGCCGCGAGATTCCTAAAGAGAACAGTACATGAATTGAAGCTCACAATTAGGAAGTATGTTCCCTTCAATCCTTTTTCTTTCTAGGACCGCAAGAAGAAAGCGGATGAGTGTGACTCACATTGCACTCCAATAATTCATAGAAACTAAGTAATGTCGAGAGCAACTTTTGAAGAAGGATCCGTTCTCGACGGTAATGAAGTCACGTTTTGAGGTAACATTGTTGGCTACTACTACCAGCTTGCAGATGGGAAGAATCCAAGTTAATAGGACAGTGAACGCCACCCTACGAACTGGGAAGACCATCCTGTTGATGATCAGAAAAAAGCGAGATCAAGCGCGTTGGGAGTCGAGGTATCGAATCCGATGAGTTGAGTTTGACTGATCTTGATCAATTATTCGACTGTCCGGCTGGAAAACCCAAGAGATTCGAGCTTAACTAAGCCCTCTGACCTTGGTCTCGTTTTGGTGGGTCCGAAGGACCCCGAGACCGAAGGTCGAGGGCTTATGACCAAAGCGTCTGTGCTCGGAGGTGAGGTCATTTCAGTTTTGGTGGGACGGGATTTTTTTTTTTTTCGAATTACTCTAGCAGTCATGTTTTGCTATGCCATCACTTGAAAAGTGATGGCGCCTCAACCTATGTATCCTCCCTTCAATTCTAGCTATCCATGAATGTTGTATTACTGGTGCTTTTTTCTCTATCTATTTCCCAAAAAAAAACCGATGTTTGCAGAATGAGTAAAAAAAATTGTCCAACCATGTTGGAATGCCATACAACATTAAATCCAAAAAAAAGAGCAGTATTGTTTCGATCACTCCTTTTTCACGTGATAAAAGATCAACTGTCCGCATATACTCAATTAAATGAGCATACATCCTGGTTATAAGTTTGTCGCAAGCGGCAAGTCACTTGCCTTACTGTAGGTTCTTAACACGAATCATCTTCCATTGGCTACGACCTGCTACGATAATGTCTCAGACTGGTGTGGTGGTCCAGGCTGTTGTGCACAACAAAACTGCCAAAACCCCTACCTTACAACCTAAACCACTTACATATATGAACATATTATTGCATAATCAGAATCTGCATACAATTTTACCCATAGTCACTCACTACAACTATACCTCTATCTCTATTAGTTTAGAAGATAATCCAGTATAAAGGTTAAAGCCATACCATAACTAGTCATTAATTAGTATTTAATAAGTATTTTGCCACATATATATAAGTACATAAACATAAATTATTACATCAGCAGGCCTCCACCAGTAGTGCAGACCATTTATGCAATTCTTGCATGCATATGTGCAACCATTAGGCCTCCACTTAGTTACTTAATTGAATTTACGCAGACTTTGCATAAATGCATGTGGACAGAAAAACCTCCACCAGGCAGTGCAACCAGTTATGCAATCCTTACATACAGTAGTACCATATTTAGTTATTTACACAGCATAATTGGCTCAATGCATGTACTCTTTGCAGGAGGCAGTGCAACCCACAAGGTCACCACCAGCAAAATCACCTCAACTGCATCACCACCAGCAAAAATAACTCAGAAAAGAATATATAAGGAGGCCTCTCCTTCACCAATTCCCCCCATCATCACCCAGCCGGTTCATTCCCCCCAGCCAGCTCAGTGGTCATCAACACAAACACCTTCAACATTAAAATCTAGTCAACACCAGTAACAACAACAACACCAACACCAACACCAACACCAACATCAACATCAACAACAACAACCAACAGTTTCACTACTTATCCAGAATCACCGCAAAACCATAAAACCCTATAAAAATATTCCACTTGGATTGTTTTCACACCCATACTCACCGTGTAAGGGTTGTACAACCATCTTGTATTGAATTACATACTGATCTAGGTCTGATAGAGACTACTACATATAAGTTTTCTCCATCATAAAGTTACGCCACAACAATAAATTAAATTGTTGTCAGAATTCTTGTGTAGTAAATAGAGGGGCAGGTCTTTCAAACCACCCGTAACAGTAAATATTATCTAGTGAAATATCATTATTGTTATTTCCCCCTCAAGGACTGCCAACCCATCCCAAAGGAGTTCTCACACTGGCACCCAAGATGCTGGACCAAGAAGATACCGATCCAAAGCGTTCAAGATCACCGCAATCCTTGATTTCATGGCCAGTATGGACCACAATCCCAAATCGTTTATAATTTCGTTTCTCCAAATCAAGAACGATCAGGCGGCTATCCAACGGCGCTACTGGCGGACCCCACGAGGGTGGGAAGGCACGTTGTCTGTAATCGATGCTCTTCGCGACTTTATCTGCACTGACGAAGTCGGAAAAGCTTTCTGGGAAGAAAAGATCCTTTCTGAGGTATGTTAGATTTTGAATCAATGAAACCCACATATCTTTTGGTTACTCATATTGCCTTCTGTTTTCTGGCTAGGCAACCCGGATTGTAGTCGATCAAAAACCGGCGAGTGGCACTTATCCTAAAGGTGGATACTTCAACACAAAAAACATAAGTCAAAATTTTTTTGACATTGACGAACGAGAAAGGCAAGAGGAGGAACTTGTCCAATTAGACACACCTTTCTTGTTCAACTTGCTGTATAATAAGATGACTCGGAATAGAAAAAAATGTCAAGCTATCAATGATGAGGAAGACAACGACCCGAATAGCTTTCGACAGCTTGAATGAAACTCAAGACCAACAAGTGAACATAAGCGGTGAAATTTTCGAAGAAACCCTTGTTGCACCGACCAGCCTTGATCATGAAATAAGAGCAAAGAAGGTAAAAAAATCTTTCTAATCGTTACAAGTGTTCTACATTTACTAAGATCTATTGAATTTCAAAACCTAGACCGCAGCGGCTGTATGTTCGATGGTCTCTTTTGTCCTGAATCGAAGGATCAATGGAATGCAACTAGCAAACTCAGTTACCTTTTTGGCCTCTGGAGTGTCGGATCGCGTGAATCACTATCTGAATTACGTTGGGCTGTCATTGTCCCGAAGAACTGCTCATCGTGCTCTAGAGGTACTTGGTGAAGAGGCGGTCAAACGAATCCGACAGAAGTTCTCAAAATCACAAGCTCTAATAATGCCGCCTTTTCTTTGCATCGACAACCTGGACTTTGAGCAAAGAGTCCATGCAAAGTCGCTTGGACACAACAGCAAGATGTTCCATGGTACATGGGGGTATGTACATCATGTAAACCCCACGCTCGTTGCATCGGTTCCACCTGGTGACCTAACTCTTGAAAGCTACAAAGAATACATGAAAAATGTAAGCACAATCGATGTGACTCCAAAAATGTTTATTGCTTCTGAGGCAGAGGACGAACATTGGACAACGGTCCTGAAATGTCAGATTGCCAAAGTAATCCTCCAATACATTGCTACACCCTCCGACAAAGACGTTCCAATCATCTCTAGACCACCCGAAGTCGAACAAATTTCTCATGACCGCCCAGATATTACCATGCTCAAACTTATGATTGTTAATGGATGAGTGAAAGAGTCAAAGAGGGAAAGACTCGATGAGTTTGTATTTCTGGATGAACAAACTCAGACTATAAATAGTAAAGAAAATATGCTACAAATGAGGTAAAAACAGTAGAAAGCTATTCTAACCTGGACTGGTGAGAGCACAGAAAGATACAAGCATGAATAAGAAAATATGCTAATAAAGAGTTTGAGAAAAAACAGAGAGCTGCAATACATGAATACTAACACCCCCCCTAGCGAACTGTTTTTTAGAAGAAATAGTTCAATGAATGCAAATAAAAAATACATTCAATAACTGACCAGGTGGGATGAAAGAAGTTGAAGGTCATCATTGCTCTTGAAATTAAAAATAAAGTGTATGTTACTGAAAGTGATAAAAATAATCAAATTGATGAGTTCAAATCGTTGTGTTGAGATGGTCAGAAATTGGATCAAGGATTGAGGATAGAGTTAGTTGGATCAAGGATTGAAGAGCCATTGAGTATAGGTTTCTTGCATGCAGCTGGTCCGGCATTGAGCTTGATCCTTCTCTTTCGTTGATCGTCTAACATGATTGAGATGACCAAAATGGCATCCACAACGATTTGAGGAGTCAGGTTGATGAATGAACTGAACTGCCAGGTATGATTGAATAGACAGTCAAGTGATTAAAAAGAGTGATATGTGGATGAATGTTGATGAAGATTGAGATTGACCGATTAAAACTGGATCAATCAATGAAGATTGGAGCAACCATACGAGGATTCAGTAGTCGTTGAGAGTAACAGTGATATAAGGAGACTGTTATGATGATGAGATCGCGCAACAAGATTCGTGATTACGCTGGCTGAGGAGGCTATCCAACGACGACAATGAGACCATAATAGCGACTAGAGGCCCATTCCGACGACTAGGAGGCTATTCCGACGACTTGTAGGCCATTCCGACGACTAGGAGGCCATTCCGACGACTTGGAGGCCTTTCCGACGACGAGGAGGCCGTTCCGACGACTAGGAGGCTAGATCCACTGAACCTAACGACTAGAGGGTTGGGCAAAAAAAAAAAAAGAGACCATTCCGAGAACAAGGAGGCCAATAAAAAAGTGGAGTCGATGTTGATAAGGATAAGGGATAGAATAGGGTTGAGAAAGCCGAACTGATGATGAAGATCCAGCGCCAGGGGAATGGCTTTGCGAGCGGTGCACTGACTAGTTGAGAGCCGAAGATAACAAAGACGATAGCCAACTGGTTCATGACCCCAACCGAGCCATGGATCTGGCTGGGAGAGATCTCAGAGAGGTAGATGAGTACGAGGACGGTGTTGATTCCACAGTCGATTCCGATGATTGTCCGGCCGATGAGGATCATTGTGAAGAAGTTGGAGAGGGACGTCAAAAGGGATCCAATTCCGATCGAGATGGCTGAGAGCAATAAATTATTCTGTTTCCCACGAGATCCAGCTAGTTTGGAGGCATAAACTGAGCTGTGGAAGCCGCCAATGGTATAGGAGGCTGTCAGGAAGCCAGATTGATTATCGGACATGGAAATACATGGGGTGAGGAGCGAGAGGGATGAATAAACATGACGGTGGGTGTTCCGATTGCTGATAAGGATTGATGATTGATAAAGACTTCAAGGAAGGTAATTGGTAGATGTTCCGATTGATGATAGGTTGAAGGAATGATGAAGGGTAATGAAGATGACACAGAAGGAGCCGGAAAAGACAGGTTTTCTCAAAGAAGTTAATTGGTGGGTGTTCCAATTGATGATAAGTATGAGAAACCAGAATCTAATATCAAGAAGATGGATGACTGGCGATAGAGTGTGATTTATGAAAGAGTAAAACCCATTGATAATGGTACAGAAATCTACATGAATACCAATGAAGAAATGATGATGCCGAGTAAAGAGCAACTATATCATGTCGATGTGAGGTTTTTAAAAAGTATGTAGTATGTTAACCAATCATGAAAGTTGTTTCAAGTCGACTATGTAAGGGACCGGAATAAAGAGAAAAAGGATGAGGTCAACTAAAGGACCATAATCTAAAACAGGAAGGATGTGAGGTCAACTGAGGACCGTAATCAGAAGGAGATAGCTTCCAGTGAAGAATCGAGACTGTAAATCTGTTAATGGATGAGTGAAAGAGTCAAAGAGGGAAAGACTCGATGAGTTTGTATTTCTGGATGAACAAACTCAGACTATAAATAGTAAAGAAAATATGCTACAAATGAGGTAAAAACAGTAGAAAGCTATTCTAACCTGGACTGGTGAGAGCACAGAAAGATACAAGCATGAATAAGAAAATATGCTAATAAAGAGTTTGAGAAAAAACAGAGAGCTGCAATACATGAATACTAACAATGATTGCATCGGACAACTCTGCGCAAGGGGTTGAAGATGTATGCACTGGTATCATTCAACAGACCGATCTTGACGAAACCGAGTTCTACAGCCGTCTGCTAATGCTGGATGGAGATTTGGGGACCTGTGTCAATGTCAAGTGTCTTCAGAACCAACGATTTCCCAGCTCACATATAGAAAATAGCCTTGACAACTTCTGTCCCCTTCTTGGCGGCGCACACACACTATGGAATATCGGACAAGCTATCTACACAAAACACTTTGGAAATAACTCTGACTCACGTGATTCTGGAGCTTGGAGGTACCTGGAATCTCTTGGGATACCATCTAGTAAAACACTTGACAAGAAGGATTTTACTTTGATGATAGCAAACATGATCAAAATCCATGAAGCTACAATTGTCCACTGTGTCATGTAAGTTCACACATTTTTACTCACTACCTTATGAATTTGAAAAACTGAAAATGATTCTTTGTTCAGGCTTGAGATGGGAAAGAAAAATGCTTCACTGGACCCCGAACCTCAAGAGCTCCCCTCAAAGGAGATTGCTGCAATCATCAAATCTACCCACGCCCGCTTTTTCTCAGCAAAAGCCCGCGCTGATGCAAGTAAAAGGGAGTCCCCCAAGCTGTTGAATCTTCAGTTGCGACTGCTTGACTTTGCTTCAGTTTGTGAAGCCAATGCAGCCATGAAGCTTGGTGATATTGGCCGAGTTATGTTCATGTGGAAGCGCTGGGCTGTAATGGCACAGGGAATCAAAAAGCTATCAAACTATGCCGTACATCTTCCGCGAATGGTTGTTTTAATCAACGAAATCTTGCCTCCAGGATTATCAAAAGTTGTTCGCCACGCTCTTTTGGTGGCCCCAAGCAATCGGCAGAAGCACTTTGTTGCAAAAGATCTCTACCTTGAATTGCAGAACTACTCACTGAAGTATTTCTTCAACCACTCTGGGAAAGGTACTGATATTAAGAGACTGAGGGATGTTTACTCAGTCAATGTACCATTGGTATGTTATTGTTCTTTTGACTATTGAGACGGGAGGACCTTCACACTAATCACTGGTATGTTGGGCTTCAGCTGCAAAGCTTGATACAGGGACTGAACAAACAGTCTGGCTCCGAGAATGTGATCCAATCACATCACAACAAAATCAAGCTCCAATCTTTGAACAATTGCCTCAGGATGGTTCGCCAGAATGACGTCTGCAACATTTCAAGCAAGAATTCGCAATACATTCCTGAAGAAACACCATACTTTTACAAAAAAGGAATGGCAAAGCTATCTAGTGACAGCGACAGTGGCAGAATAAACCGTCTCCGGCCTCCTCCGATATCTAACTGGGATGTAGATGAGTTTGCTACAGGTTGTCAATATAACAACATCAATTCAGATACAAGTGAGAGTGATGGTTCAAGCAAAGAAGACAGTGAAGAGGACAGTAGTAAAGATGAATCTGAGGAAAATGAATCAACCCCTTCTGCTCTTGATTAACTAATTACTTCCACTTGACCTGTTCTCGTGTATTTGTGTATCCTCGCATATTTGATTCAGTGTTATTGAGGCCGCGTGCCATCTTGCCTTCGAAAGATCTTTCTTAAGCCTGTTTGCGTCCCCTTTCTCTTGTCGTATTTTCATTCTTGCTTGCTTTGCAGCATTCTCCTTGCAATTCTTTTCAATTTTCTTCTGTTTCTTTAACTCTTTTTGAACTTTTTCATCTTCTGATTTCCTTTTTTTTCTAAATCCTTCACATTCTTTTCTTGTTTTTTTTGTTCTTTTTCTTTCTCATCCGCCTCTTTTTTTCCCTAGCTTTCCTTTCCTTCTCTTGTGTTTTCAACTCCCTTGCAGCTGCTTTTTCTTGCTCTTTCAGGTCCTTCTCTCGATCACTGGCCTCCTTTTTTCTTGCTGCAATCACTTGTCTTTCTTCTACATCTCGTTGTTTCCTTGCTTCTGCATCGATTTTCTTCTGCTCCATTTCGCTTTCTAGTCGTTGCTTTTTGCTAAGAACGTGTTGAGTGTAGTTGAACACATCAGATATGTGTTTTTGATACACGCTGCCTTCTTTAAACTGAATTATTGAGTCGTGTAGAATCTCCAATTGACCAGCTGTTTTTTCGCCTCCAATGTATTTCGCAATAGAGCCTGAGTCGTGTATGTCCGCTAGATTTTGTGCAATTGAGTCGGATTCTTCTCTATCAAACATATCTTCTGATACAAAAGAGGATGATTCAGGGTATGTGGTCTCAAAAAATCGGGTAAAGTCTTTGAGTAGGGTGTCTGACAGAGCGTTGAGCATCGGGCCCATTTTGATCTTTTTCGGAGCTTGAGCTTTCTTCTTCTTTTTTATAGTATACTCAATATCTTCAAGGTCCTTGGCGTTTTCACACATGTCAAGAAAATTTGCTAGATTCATCTCGGCCATGTGTTTGCGTAACAGCTCTGCTTCTCGTGGCTCACAGTTTGAGCATTTACAAGGAGGAAAGCCTTCGGACTCCTCTTGCAATCGCTCCTCTGAGACACTAGGATCTTCCAGGGACCTGGGAATATATCCAAGTCTAGAAAATGTGAAGATATCAGTGATTGGCTTCCCAACAGTACACAAGCTAGAATAAAAAACACATACGAATTATCAAGTGAGAAGCAGATCCTCAGGCAGACTGGAGTGACAGCCAAGGCATCCATCCTCAAGTCATCCGTTTTTTTATCTGAGGCTAAGAAATCATCGGCTTTATTTTTTCCACCTTTCCGTCTCCTTTCCATAAAAAGCACAGCTAAACCTGGTTTTCCATCGCGTCCACACCGACCGATCATCTGGCAGATGTTTGAGGGGTCGGCACGCCCCAGATGAATGACCCGTCTTACACGACTCCAATTCTGACCTAGACCCAAAGCCATCGTACACGATATACAAGGGAATTCTGCGGCCTCAAAGCCGTTGATAGTGTCAATCTTGTCACGGTTGCCTGTGACAGCATGATAGCGACGGATGAGCTTGCTTCGAGGATTATTTTCTCCGCCAACTGTTCCTCGGGCTTCATTCACAACCTTTAGAATTTGGCCAGTCGCATTTCGTGTACCCAAGTATATGAGAGTTGGAAGAAGATCGCTGTCAGGAATATCTTCTCTTTGTCCAAAAATCTGAAGGAGATCGCTAGCCTTCTTCAATGAACAGTCCATTGGGAACCTCAGTATTCTGATTTCGGGTCTTGTGAGCTCCCCATGGATAATTGTGACATTATCCGGGTCGAGTTTGAGACATTCAAAGATAGCTTTCCGGGCTTCTGGGCGGCAAGTTGCTGATAGAAACAGGATTGGCACGCCCTCGTTTGCCATGAGTTGTGCTCCCATGTTGCCGTAAGAAGGGCGGAAGATTGAGACATCATGTGTTCGAAGGTGAGCTGACGACTTCTTAGCCTCGCCACTAGCAACCAAGCCCCAGCTGTAGATTATATGAGCCTCATCGATGACGATCAAGGCCAGCCGAGCCTGGAATTCTGGCTTGTAGTATAGTGAAACAAAGAGCTTGTTGTCCACAAACGTTTCGGGACTCAAGTATACGAAGTTAAACGCTCCGGCGAGAATCTTGTCTGAAAGCGACTTGTTAAACGTCATCTTGGCCAGGTTGATCGCAGTGAACCCTTGCGCTTTCTTTTCCGCAACTTGATTGTCTCCTAAGGCATCGAGTGGATTAATGACTAGGACAACTCCATCCTTAGCGGTAAAAAGATTGAAGTACATTTCAGCAATACGAGATTTTCCAAAGCCGGTTCCGGCCATGACAAAAGTGTGTTTCAGTTCAGTGAGGTTCATCACGGCGTCTAGTTGGAGCGGTTTAGGTGTCTGGCCCTTGTAGAACAATTCCGCCTCTTTTGCAATGTGTTCTCTCAATTTCTTTTCATCCATCTTGAGGACGTTTTCTGATAGAGTTATTCGATTGATACGAACACGGCGTGCTTTCTTCTTCTTATTCCGTCGTCTTGCAGGCATGTTTGCTGGTCTAGTCGGCGAGGTTGTAAAGCTCCGATGCTTATAATTGATCGGCTTGAACACTTTGATAGCCAAATCTCTCTGTCTCTCTGTCTCTCTCTCTGTCGATCCCTTCGGGACGTTGAACTGTTTAATTAACAGTTGGACTAATGAGGTATGGCTTTGACTTTATCCTAAGTCTGAATTTAATACTAGAAAAGTTTTTTGTTACTTTTTTTTGGAACAAGGACAAAGACCCCCGGTTAAGGGATGGAAATAGATCTGAGGATATGAGAAGCTTTGTAAGAAGCAAGCCCATCTTCCTCTCTATTCACATTTCTATGTACACATGAGGAATGGAACATACTCGATGGATTGTTGAAAACAGGGTTAAAACAGAATCCCCTCACCACCAAGCAACTCATCTTCAGTCATAAGCCTCGCTTGCACCTGCACTCCGTGCGTGCGCGCGAGGGTTATATAAGCTAGCAAGAGATTCATTATGATACACAACGGCAAATAGGGGTAAGTTATGGCACATAGATACAAACAAGAGATTTGGCCACATCATGCGACATTTCATTCATGTCATCCGCAATAGCACTAGAGAACTCCTCCTGGGTTTCACACAAATATCTACAGTATGTACACACACATTTCCGTCATGCACTCGGAAATAAAAAGGACGCCTTCCCGTAGATATCCCCATCGTGCAGATACCTGTGACTGTTAGCTCGGCTGAGGGGCTCATAGGAAAATCATTATCATCCAATGGACATGTGGAACTGGGATACATAAGAAGGGCATGGAAAGTAAATTAAAACAGGGCCCTGGAAACACCCCGCACACCACAAAAAAAGTCAGGACACCTGCTGACAGTTGACAAGTGGGCTACTGCTGCCTAACTCAAATTCTTACTCCAAGTTATTCCAAAGTTGATTATTCTGCACAAAGTGAACAGTGATTGTGCATTAAAGTTTTGAGTAAGATAAGAGTGAAAACACAAGTAGTTATCCAAGTTGCTGCATGTCAATTGCCATCAGGCGTCTCCAATGTTCTTGTGTTGGTATATGAGGGTAATGTAAAGTCGAGAATTCTGGCAAAATTCATACATTTTTGAAGCCTCATGTTTCATGCCAATCCTCAGAGGATTTCCACAGTTTTAATCCATTTTTCATGCCTAACATTGTTTTTTTTCTGCTGGGAGGCACAAAGCACCTGTTTTTGCATGTTATAGCCACTTTGGGTAGGATTTGGGGTGCCAGACGCAACAAAACACAAATCCAAGTCACAACAATAGAAAAGTATTGACAACAATTCAGCTTTGCCCCCCGGTCCCACAATCTATATGAATAACCCCTCATCCCTAGTGAATTTTTCACACACTTGAAATAGGTATGATTCAACTCCAAAAAGGCCATTCATACCACTTTTCATGCCTACCATTTTGGGCCATGGCCCCAAAAATTCATGAACTTACATCAATCACATACATGCGGGGGTTTCCAGGGTCGTATTACCTAGGTGAAGCTTCCAGAGAAAATTGAACGTGGATGGAATTTGAAATTCCGAAAGTTGCGAGCTAGACATCCTACCAAATGGAGATAAGGCAACTCCAGAATTTTCGAAATCAAGGTTGAAATTAGATTTTTGAAAATCTTTCAAATTGCGAACCTCTTGGATTACTCGCCAATTTTGATATTCTGATGTATTCAGAATAATCATAATCTCACAGGAACTGCTGTTGTGTCGTGATCATCGTCTTGACAGAACAATTGGCCCATGGTCGATGGCCAGGTGCGACTGTCACTGTATGCAAAATGAATGGAGATGGATATGCAGGATCCAACGGACCCCCTTGATTTTTTTATTTTTACTGGGCTACACAATCTCGACTGCTGGGCAAAGTTGGAAAGAACCGCTTCGACTGCTGGAAACGCTTTACGACCACCAACCGATCGAAGAGGAAGAAGCCGAAAAAGATGAACAACAGCCAGCCGAGAAGCAATCCGAATGGGAAGCGGAAACGAGAATCGAAGAAACAGCGAGCCGGAGCAGAAGAAGAAGAAGAAGGCCGAGGAGCGGGCCAGCCACTGCCGAGCTCGCTGTCGAACCCACTGATGCTGCCGGTGGCCCCGTCGACCGGGCCGCCGAAGGACTCGGATTCTGCGCCCAAGTTGATCGTCGTCCTCAGCCAAGCCTGTCTCGAAAATTACGCCCAAACCGTCAAGCAATCTTCGGCCTCCAGCTCGAAATCTAAGGCGTCTTCCGCAAAGAAACAGGTCAAATATACCCTCCTCAATTGCGATGATCATCAGTCTATCCTTGCTAAAATGGGCAAAGATATCGCTGCGACTCGTCCTGATATCACTCACCAAGTCAGCTCGAATTTTAACCTTTTTTATTTATAATCATTATATACAACTCATTTACACTTCACTAATCCTTGTCATCTTTCAAAACCCAAAACAGTGTCTGCTGACGTTACTTGATTCACCGGTCAACAGAGCCGGAAGGCTCCAAGTATACATCCACACCGCCGCTGGAGTCTTGATCGAAATCCATCCTACAGTCAGAATCCCTAGAACTTTTAAACGGTTTAGCGGCCTCATGGGTTAGCATTTTTCTTGTTTCTTTTTTTTTTGGCAAGTCAGTCTCTAACCAATTATCGAAAACTCGCTTGTTTTTTTTTTTTTTTTTTTTTCTTTTTTTCTTTTTCTTTTTCTTTTTCTTTTTTTTTTTTGGGGGGGGGGTTACAGTGCAATTGCTTCATCAACTATCCATCAAGTCTACCACAGGCAAAGAGAAACTATTGAAAGTGATCAAAGTAAAGCTCCTTTCTCTCTACTAATTCACCCAAAAAAAGTTAAAACGGAGCAACCTGATGCATGAACACATCCAGAATCCAATTTCGGACCATCTGCCGCTGAATTCGCACAAGATCACCCTCTCGTTCGATGCGCCTCCGGTCAAAGTATCCGAATATGTGACCACCATTCCATCGGATAAGCACTTGGTTGTTTTTGTTGGTGCGATGGCTCATGGTGCTGTTTGTCATACACTCTCTTCTCTCTCTACATTTCTCTATCTCAAAATTCCACACTGACTTTGGATTTTTTTTTCGTCTTTTGAAGGATGACTTTGCTGATCATCTGGTCGATGAGAAGATCGCCATCAGTCAATACAGTCTTTCAGCTTCGGTTGCTTGTGGAAAAGTTAGTAACTAACTATTCCCCCCCCCCTTTTTTTCGCAATGTAAAACTCAGGGAAAATAAAATGCTGAACTGATGTAAATATTTTTGTTTTGTGTATTGGTGTTCTTCCAGTTTTGCTGTGCGGTCGAAGATCATTGGGGAATCCTGTAAAACCACCTAAATCACCCTTTTTTTCCCTTTTGCCATTTCATGTTTCATTTTTATATTTGGGCAATGTTTCAGCAATCAATCATAAACGAGTTGTTGATGCGGTCAAAAGAAACCTATGAGGAAAGACAGGGCCTCAAGAATCCATGAGAACAAAGTCACTCTTCTCATAATTCAAACCTGGACAGAAAGAGAGGACTGCTTGATGCGGATAAGTTATGCAATATGCCCTCCAGTGCCCCCAACAAAATCAAATGTTGCATGCGATAACTTGGATTTATTAAGGTTGTGGTGGAAAAAAGCAAAAAAAAAAAAAAGGTCGAGGAGAATGAAACATAAACGGAAATATGAAAAAAAAAAAAAAAAAAATTCACAAGAAGTGAAAGAAAAAGGATTTCTAAATAAAGTAATATGGTGGTCGAACTTGTCGAGCAAGTTGCTACTCCAGTGCACTGGACCGGTTGGGCTCATCAAACTGCTGTTCCCGCTGGTTGAGCCACTGTTCCTGCTGCTCGAGCCACTGTTCCCGCTCCTCAAACCGCTGCTGTTGGCGCTCCTCAAACCGCTTTTCCCGCTGCTCGAACCACTGCTCCTGCTGCTCGGCGAGCTGCTCAAAGCGGGCCTGCCGCTGCTGGAAGCGCTGCTCCCGCTGCTCGTGTTCCCTCAATCTTCGCTTCAGACCAAAAAGGAGACAAGCTTTTATGTAGGGGTTTTTTTGTGTGGGTGTGAAGGATTACAAGTCATTGATGTCAGTGAATATATACAGTACGATTAACAATTACAGATAAAAAAAAAAAGGGGGGAAGAAAGAAAGAAGAAAACACTGACTGTGGCAGATAGGAAGGGCCACCGCCAACAAGACCCAGATCCATAGAGCACACCCCATCATAAACCCTTGCCGATCGGGAAATAAAAGCCTGGATGGGATCGCTAATTAGGAAAAAAGGGATGCTGAGAGTTCGATGAGCAGAGAAGAAGGTTGGGGGTGCTTGCTGGTGTTGGGTTGTTTGGTCAAGTGGGGGAACTTGGGTTATATGCTAGTAAGAATTGTTTCAGAGATTGCCCAGGATTTTATAATAAAAAAAAAACGCATCGGATAGTCTAGGACTACATATTTCACCAGACAACAGGCAAAAAAAAGGATCTGGTAGCAACCCCGCGGGTCCAGTCGAACTGCAGCGCTGCTCCCACCAGGGTGGGGGGGGGGTTGACCAAGGCTGTCGTCACCTTGACCGGTTGACAATTGTGTATGATAACGAAGAAATAAACAGAAGAGAATGATGAGGGGAAGGAAGTGAGTGGAGGAGTCAAAATTACCACTGGCAAGGGATCAGGCAAGGCAAGCCACCACGTCAGCCTTGGGAAGGCCAGCTTTCCCCTCCAGAGCCACAGCTTGGCATGCGACATTGCTCCATGCTCCCTTCCTCACTATACTGTCTCGGCCAAAAGCGCAGGCCGGATTGTTGGGCTCTTGGTCTCATCCAAGATCTTTACTTGGTGGATGTCCTTCCTCAAGAAGGCCGACAGAGCAGAACAACCACTCAAAAGTGCCGGTCAGGAAGAACTACATTTTATAGACAGCTTCTGATTAGGGGCCTGCCCTCTCCTACATAGTCACTGATCTGGCAGCCCCCAATCCGCGTGAGAAGAAGCTCATCGACTAGGAATAGGATTCGATAAGTTCCGCACATCCATGTTCATCAATCGAGTCGCACGAGAAAACTGCCGTTCCTGTCCCTGATCAACACTCCATTCCAGCCGCCTCAGATCTCGTCCGGCATCGTCAAGCACATCGCGTTCTCATACAATCACACTCGCTCAACAAAAAAACAACAACAACAAAAAAGGGGTAAAAACTTTTGCCGGTTGCTTTTTAATGATCAGTTTTGGCAGGAAAAGATGAATTCAGATGAGTATATGTTGCCGATTTTAAAGTAGAAGAAAGGGCCCAGCGAACTGAGAATAGATGATTCATTGGACATTGACATCCCCTGGATTTCTGGAGCCATAGTTTTGTCCTCCAAACTGCACACCCAAGCTGTGGTGTGCTAAGAACAGTTGAAGACGATAAAAAAAAAAAAAAAAAAAAAACTCAGACTTGGGATCAGTTGTATTCGGACAATACCCAGTCCCTTGTACTATCCAGCCCAGCAAGCTCAAGCCTTCTTCTCCCTGGAGCAGACAACGCGATTGGAAGGAAGTCCTTGATTACCAAAACGGTTCATAAAAATGACTAACTCTTATCTCCATGTAGATTTTAGCCCAATGTATGTAGAGTAAGACTAGGTAGAGAGAATCAGATAGAGCGCCAATTACAACAACAGCTTATTACACAACCTTCTTGTTTTTGTTTGTTTCTGTTCTAGACTAAGCATTATCATATATGTGTATTCAAGACCGGTCTGACGTGTGTGTGTGTACAAAGACTCAGATCGAAGCAAATCGAGAGACTGAGCAGCAGAAGGACTCGGATGAGCAAGACAGGGTTATAGATAGGGAGTTTTGCTGTAGGAGGAAGAGGCCGAATTGGCGAACACTTTCTTCGATCGAGGGGGCCGACAGCTCGAGTGGGATCCGGGCTGGTTGGCTTTGATGATCTCGCTGACGTTGTGCGCTTGGGCACTGATGATCTTCAGCGTCGGGTCGGTGTCGTAGAGGTCGTACCATCCTGGTGCCTGTTGTTCGGTTTGGTCAAGTCAACAATATGCGAGTGCAACTTGTATGGAATTATTTTAATCACTTACTTCATGTGGTGGATCACCTATTGAAAAAAAAAATAAAGTCCAATTGATTAAGTGGAATGTCAAGATGTACACAATAACGTTGTTTAAAAGAATACACACCAGCCCACGATTGACCAAACGAGTTTCTCTTATCAGTTGGTCTCCAAATCCCACCATAAGCCCAAGGCCTTCAAAAAAAAAACGCCGGACCAAAGAGTTCCCCCATAAAACAATCAATAAAAAGACACACACACACACACACATAATCTTCTGGTTTTTTTAACAGGAAGAAGAAATGGGATGAGAGGACTGACCCAGCTCCTTGCCAGCCTTTCCCTTCCTTAAAATACTCGACCACGCTCGAGATGAGGAACTGGAAGTAACGGTCCTTATGAGTCGTCGTAGCACTTGCACTAACCAAACAAAGAACATAAAGTAGTGGATGAGTAGGTAGGTTGAAAAATAATAGAATAAAGGAAAGGAAAGGAAAGGAAAGGAAAGGAAAGGAAAGGAAAGGAAAGGAAAGAGAATGATGGTTGGACATACTCGTATAGGTAAAACGATTTCGGAGCGCCTTTCTCGACGTTCTGCCATTCGTCTCTAGCCATCCCGAATTCTTCCAAGACCACCGGCTATGTGTGTGTTTTTTCACGGGGTCGGATAAGGAATAGATTGTCAGAAGGGCGCGAGACAATACAAGATTTTTTTTTGGTTTGGTTTGAGGAGAGAGAGAAAGAGAGCTTGAGGGGGTTACTTTGTGAAGGTCGAGACTCCAGGCACTCAAGTTCCTGAGGAATCCAGTCGCGAATTCTTCGGCTTTCATCAGGCTTTTCTCGCTCGAATCTAACGGATCATAGTAGCCCTACATCCCACACACACACACATCAAGAGAATGATGTTGTATGAGCAAGATGATCGTTTTTGATTTCTAAGAAGAAAAAAAAAGGAGGAAATTTGCTCACCCAGTTTTGGACCCATAGATGACTTAAAAGAGACGAACCCGATGAATGAGTTGGATATAGATGAGAAAAGAAATGAAGATAAGAGCGGAGAGACTGACCCGCAAGCATAATCGATAGATTCGGGAGAATGGACGTGTTTGAACCACCATTCGCCGGTCTTACCTTCGAATCCGACGGTGACGAGATGGTTAGGGTCGAGCGACTTGATGTAATCCGAAGTATCGGCGACCCTGTACAGTGTCCACGAAAGTCCAAGATGATGAGTGATCGATGAGCTTGTGAAGAAGAGTTCACAAGGGCGGAAAGACTGACCATGATTGGGGCGGATCTTGGGGCTCGTTGGAAAGCTCCCAGGTCATGATCGTCGGGTCGTCCTTGTAGGCTATCCCGGTGACCGTGTTGACTCGATCGATGACGGTCTTGATGTGGTCCTTGAACCATCCTTGGGTGATATGACTGATCGAAGTATCATTACTATAAATCGATCGGGCACACCAGTCGGAAAAACTCATTTCCTCAGCCCTTCTGAATGGCTTGCTTTGTTCCAAAAAAAAAGGAGAAGAAGAAAAACGCACTAGAATCGGCCCGCATAGCCTGTGAACCCATTCCAACTGTTCGTCTTGGGATCATAGTTTCCCCACGAGCCACTCTTGCTGTAGTCGCCATAGGGCGGATTCAAAGCAGGATCCCAGCTGTTTTTTTTTTTTTTGTGTCGACAACATGAAATAGAATTAGCTATCATGAACTTGTTTGTGACTGATACAATAGCTTCTTTTTCTTTTTTTTTTTTTATTCAAAAAGAGAATAGAGACAGTGAACTTGAATGATGACTGACGAAGGAGGGTAGGGGATCTCGGAATTGTTGGTGGCCCAGCTGACGTATTGGGAGTAGCCGCCGCTCCAATGCCAGAAGTTGTTCAAGGTCATGATGACGGAGATGTTGTATTTGGAGAACTCGGCCAAGGCTCGGTCGAGGCCGACGAAGATCTGTTCATTATCTTTATACATTCAAAAAAAAAAGGAGGTTGAATGACTCGTAAAAATGATGACGATGATGATGATGAAGTCGACATACATTTTCCAGGGGATTCCATGAGGGCAGGATACATCCTGTAAGGCTGAACACCACGGCCAGAGGCCTCGGAGGCGGCCATCTATTCGCAGGAGAGAAACCGACCCGTTTGGGGGAATGAGTTGATGATTGCTCGATCAGAAATGATTCAGAACAAGAATCGAGCGGCTTACGATCCGGACATTGTTGACTCCGATCTTGGCGAGCTGTTGGACCTCGGTCTTGAATCTGGAGAGGTTCCCGCCGACGGAGTCGTCTGCGGCCAAGTTCCTAATAATTTGATGAAAAGGAAAGTACGGTGAGTGGATTGATAGTGTGTGTGTGTGTGTAGCTACTGACATGACGCTCCAATAGTTCATGGAGACCAGATAGTGTGGCGAACAAGCCTTGTGGAAGGCCCCGTTCTCGACATAGATGAACTCGTCTAGGTTGGCGTGCGGTTTGGGTGGTTTGGCGGCATCCGATTGGCCATGAAGGCTGGTGAAGGAGAAGAAGGCCACGACGAGCCAGTAGCTCAGTGGGACCTGCATGTTGCTGATTGGGTTGTGTCTGTTCGTCTGGGTATGTAGCTTGTGTGGTCAAATAAATAAATATTTATAATGAGCTCGAATGTCGATTGAGCTCGTTGCGGTTCGAGTGGATGGGAACTCTCTGACAGCAAGCTCCTTAAATAGGGGGGGGGCGATGGAAATCTGTCGAAAGGTGTATGACAAACTTCAGCCTCGACGAAACCAGCTTCGTACATAAGAAGAAGCACCAGTTTATAAAGCGAGATGATCATCAAGAAGCCTGAATCTCAACCCTGCAGACATTCTGGGCAGCCCAAACCAAGCCTGCAAGACTCTGTTGATCTTCTTCGCACATCAGCAGTCCTTGTGACCCTCATGAGGCTGTTAACTTTGTATTTTCAGACCCAGTGAAGCGCATTGGGCTTCCAAGGAAAGTAGGATGTCAGGACCCAGGAAAACCCCTATGGAACACAGTAACCAAAAAACCAGGATTTTTGAAAAATTCATACATTTTTTGAGCCCATTCATACACATTTCGTGTGTAGGTTCACCACTTTCCATGAGAATTCATGCATTTTTGGTGCCTACCTTCTGCACAGGGGGGAGGGGGGGGAGGGGTAAAAGAGGCAAAAAAGGGGGAGAAGCTAACCATACACCAGCTCTCACTTCAAGGGGTCTAGTTGCTGGTGCAAATAATCCCTCTGAACTACACATCAGCCCTTCAAAGCATTGAGCCTGGGCTTTCAAGTTAGAAGGGTGGCCTTGGGGAGCATTGTGGCCAAAATTTTTGTGACTTTCATACACCTTTGGTTACTACCTCCCCTTCTTTGGTGAAAAATCCATACATTTGAGGTGAGTACCTTTCTGGGCAAAAACAGCAATTCATACATTTGGGGTGAGTACCTTTTTTGGTTTTTGACCAAAAATTCATACATTTTGGTTACTGTGTTCTATAGCGGCTTTCCTGGGTCCTAGGATGTCCGCTCTCCCTCTCCCGAGTGTGATGAAGTCAAGTGAGCAGCTGTGTGTTGATCATGAGCTTGACCGTTACATAAATATCATCCACAACACCACCCATCTCTAGTCGAACTCCTCCGTCGAATCCGGACCAGATTAAACCTTCCAGCTCACTCATCCTGATCACTTGCTTGCTTTAAGCGATCTTTGATTTACAAACAAACAATGAACTTGGATTCTGGGCTCATCGATCAACAGATACCATACACATTTACACATTAGATGTCTTTTTTTTTTTTTTTTTTTTTTTTTTTTTTTTTAAGTGTAAGTTTGGCCTTTGGCATTGCACACTATGAATATCATTATTTCTACCTACAAGCTTTTTTGTATGTTTGTAGCATGGTTTTTCCTGTACTTGGTCTATGGGGGCAAGTTCTGTAGAGGATGCGGGAGTGTAAGAGACAGTTTCATCTACTTGAGGATTTTTATAATTGGGGGACAGATTGGGTGCAACCATTTTTCAGGCTGATTCAAATTGGGTAACGGGTGTTGAAAGTGAAATTGGGGTTTTTTATAAAGGGGACAACTAATAAAGGGTTTGAAAGTGAAAATGGGGTAGTGTGTAGTTGTCCAAGATCGGAAGTGGTAGCGGCCAGGGGTTGGGTCTGCCGGGATTCGAACGCCGGACTCGTCACTCTCTTCGAAGTGATTATACTATGTCGTCGCAGGGGAGACACCGAGCTTCCGTGGGTGATGGTTACCGCTAGGCCATCCAGGCCCTTTTATTGGGTGAGTTTGAAGTTTAGATGTCTTTGGATTCCTCTGATGAGCGCAAGACCCCCCTGTATTAAAGAAGGCGGTTGCAGATCGCGCTGTGGATTCGGTAAAATGGATGCCGAACTTCAACATGGAATATCGTCTTGACAATGCGGATGGCCAGCTGTCCACATCATCAGAATAGCTTTCATTTTAACATGATAGCTTCCTCTCTACAAAGAAATCGATCGGATACAACACCAATCACTGTTTGTTGGTCTTGCACTAAAAACTCACCAGACCCATCCCAGCTTGATCTCCAGCTCATCATCGCTGCTGACTGCTATATGTACACATAATATACCTCGTTTGATCGGTACATAAATATTTACTTTGGTTGAGTTGGAGAACATCTGACTCTAACCCACATCTCTTGCAAATCGTAGCAACACATCAAACCCCAACCCCGATAATATTTGCAATCTCTGCCTTGCCAGCAGTGATCAACTCATACTGTGATGGCCAGCAAAAAAAAAAAAAAAAAAAAAAAAAAAAAAAACAGTATCCAGGATTTGGAAAAACAAAATTAAGACGGTTGTCTGCTACATGTTTGCATCTCATACTCATGACTGAGATCGAGCCAGTGAGTACACTGACTGCTCTATGCTTCCGTGGATCCTGCAGCCTTTTCTTTGCTCCAGGCGGGCTGGTGTTTTGGGAGCTATATAGGGTTGTGGATCAGCAGCAAGCATATTTGTCAGCCACATCTTTGCAAAGTTCCTGTGAAACACTTGACATCCATCGCTGGTGTTTATAATTTGAATATAATCCTTGAAACAAAATAATTGGACTTGCAGGCTTGATTTTATAGGGAATTTATAATAGGATATTTCACATTTTCAACCCCAGGGTCTTTGTTCATCTTGGTATAATCCGAGTATTTTACATCTTTTCAATACATAAAGTGTGTCCAGAAAATCAAGTCTTGGAAGTTCGATACATATTTGGACTATGTATCTGTTTGTGAATTTTCTCAAAAAACCCTTTCTTATAAATCGTATGATTTTATGTCAAATATTCCTATTTAACTCTCATTTTCCAACACCCCTCCTCCCCTGAGTAAGCAAATAGGATCCAATGAGAAAAATGAAAGACATCCAATCAACACAGTAGGAAATATAAGTCTTGGAACTACATGGTCGGGAGGATCATAGCCCTTTCTAAATCAACACTCCATTCTGATAAAGCTCCCAACCAGATCTGCTAGTTGAACATCATCAATTTTGAGTTAGGTTTGACCAATCTCTTGCTCAGGTGTGACATTCACATTTCAGGATTGTGATCCTGCCATTGAATAGCTCAATCATTTGCTTGGAGTTGGAGTGCTACGTTTCAAACAGCCTACAATCAGAAACAATGGGATGGGATCCACCACTGTTAAGTTAAGCAGAGTTTGCAGAGTATTGAAACCATTTGAAGGAGTGGCATACACTCTGGAAAGTGGAGTATCCATATTTCTTGCTTCACTCTCCTTGCATCTCCTCCTTTTGACAAGGATTTGCTTGAAATAACTTGACATGAGTTTGAGGACTTATTATATGTTGTGTTCTTGGTGGTCTCTCCATTCTTGATCTCAGGAGTGGGATCATCATAAACTAAGTCTCAGGTATGTTTTGGAGAAAGTTTTGATTGCAAGAAATTGAGTGTGAAGTGGAGCCCACCCAGGGTTGGAGTTGGCTAGCAGAATAAATTCATGTGGATTTGAAAAAAATAGGGATGTAAAATTGTGGTTGTTTTTTATAAGAGTTACTGGGACTAATATAAACACAGAGAACATGTTTCAAACACAATTATAGGTTTACTATTCATTCTTTTTTTCAACTGATTCTATTCAATTTTTTTCTTTAATTCCATCCATCCTGCTTGTACATGAATGCATGGAATTTGGTTTTGGCATTATTCTTCGCAGTACTCCATTCATGTAAATCTTTCAGTTCAAACTTCTAACCAGTTAACGTATATATTATATGTTAGTAGCCAAATATAAAAAATGAGTTTGAAAAAAGAGACAGATACATCACTTCAAACCACAGTTTCACACAAAATGCTGCAGAACCACACTGTATTAAGGTTGATGACACCCAACATAACAATGGGACTAACTATTTGAGACTATTAATGAGTTAAATAAGATGATACAATTAGGGAGACATGGTTATTTGATCGAGATTGAAAGCAAACCATCCAACGATTGAAGATCAGAGAACCCAAAGTTTTGAGCTCAGTAATTACCCCTAGCCTTCGACCCAGATCCGCTTGGAGTAGGCGATGCGCTATGCTGAGGCTGCATACACACACCTAATCCCACAGGTGGATGATTAGGCAAATCCAAACTGCGAGAATAAAAAAAAAAACCCCACACGGATTGTTGTTGCAGTTAGTTCGAGCTCCATGCAGGCATATATATGTTGGGACTCAAGAGTAGTGCTTACTCCCAAACCTTCCTCAGAGCATTGCAAATCGACTTGAACGAAGGGGCACTGCCCTTTTCAATCATTAATGACATGCAGCTTTGATAGGTCAACGGACTTTTCGGGGCGAAATGAGTTGTTCCTGAAATGGTTTGGATTTCGTGAGTTGAGCCACTTTGCCGGATGAACTCCACCTTGAATTTAACCGGACGAAGTGAGCCGCCCGAATCTAAAAAAAGTGGTTTGTTCAATGAGATGGGAACCTCGTTAGTTGGAGCGCCATTCTTCTTGGTGTGGAGAGCTCGGAAAGTCGCTTACGATCTTCGAAGGAACACCTCAGCACTTCTCCGGTGTCAGATCTTTCCAATAAGACGTGACAGCCCAGATCCTCGAGGAGGCCTTTTGCTTCTACCCTGCTATCTTCACAGCTCTCCAGAGACATGAGGCGATAGTTCTAAGTACAATTTGGAGGTTTCCCACACCTAAGATCAGAGTTTGATTCAAAGAATTACGAGATTAAAGGAAACGCGCTAGCTGACCGATTGTTTCCATGAGAATAGGTTAGTAAACCAAGAGACTTTAGGACTCATGAGTCCGCCGTCATCCGTAAATGCTGACGAGGCAGGGGAAAGCGGTGAAGGGGAGCCTACGATACAAAAAAAAAAAATTAATGAGCCGATCAGTCAAGGAGAAAAATTTGATCTGATTATCGGGTTCATTGCCGACCTTTGCTTCTGCGACTTGATCGGCTAGATTTCCGACTTCCCTCGCTCGAATGATCAAACCCGGGAGCATAGTGAGCGGCGGGTTCGATAGTCAATCCTAATGCCGCTTTGCCTTTGCCCTTGTTAACTTTGGATGGCGGTGCATGTCGGTAGGTTGACAGGCGTGAATTTTCCTTGTTGCCAGGAAGATTTGTACTCTTCTTGGATCTTTGAGACGAGGATACGCCTCGAGTAGACGTCTTCTCGTGAAGATTGTCAGATTCTTGCTCGGCGTTCCAGGCAGACATACCTTGCTGTTTGGCCATAGCACGAGTTTGGGCGCGAGCCCCTTGGATGCGATGAGGTCTGAGTATGGAAAGTTTTTGAATTCGTGAGTTTTGGTTGACGGCGCTGGGAATTCGGGAAGAGTCATCAACCAAGACAAAGCCTGAAGTCCGTTTGCCATCAGGTTGACGCTGCGAATAAGAAAGCGATCCGCTGGAAGAGTTCTCTTGCTCGTAGCTCTCGAATCCAGCAGAGTCAATCTCTTCGGCATCTTCAAATTGATTGACTCCTGAGCAGGATTCGAATCCATCTGAATCCAAGTACGGTGAAGTCGGCGCTGAACCTCCAAGAGCCCCTTCATGTAAGTTGGGAGAGCGATTTGACATAGTTTGGAGCTGATCCACAATATCATGAAAAAACCTCCGCATCGCCGGGTCTTCGGTTTGTGGTATTCTTATGGAAGCTGTGGGCGACGTGATTGGTTTGGGGCTTGTGGAAAAATTGTGTTTGGGAGTGACAGAGTCTGGCTTAACTTCCACTGGATTGCGTTGCTTTCGATGAGCGGGTGAGGGGGTGGCCTCTTGTAGGAGAATTCGTGGGACAGCCGAAGCTACAATTTGATCAGGACCTCTCTTTGGTGTTGAGGAGGAGTTCTGACTGAATTTTACAGCTGAATGTGGTTGGTTATTCGGCGGAGGTACTTCTGGCTGGGGCCTTAGGCTTCGGGGAGTCGTCGGAATTGGCTCGACGTGATCTTTGGGCACAGAGATGGTGTGAGGTGATGATGATCCTACTCCTTGATTGTTTTCAACGGCTTCAATGACCTCTGCAAGTGTCTCTGATACCGTCCCTGGAGTCGAAGGGGCAGGTCGAGTAGCAACGAGATGCGAAGTGCCATTCGATCCGACACGCGGAGTGACTGAGCGGCGATTTAAACTGGCAATAGACTGTCGAGAGCGACTGCGAACTGCACCTGCACCTGTCCTAACAATGTGCTCACGGGGAGGCTTCTTCGATTTCGATTTGCCATTGCTAGCGGTTGGCGCTGCAGATGTGGCAAAGTCAACTGTATCATCGCCGAAGTTATCCAAATGATGCTGTTTGTATTTTTCTAGAAGAAAGTAGAAAACTTTCTCCCAAGATTGCCTAGTGGGGGAGTAGGTGCGCCAGTCAGCCTTGAGCTCCTCCGAAATCCAAATGGAAGTCTGGGATGAATGATAACTCACTCGGTGGTAACTAGGGCTTCCACGATCAATTTTTTTTCGGCACCACCCCACAGCGTTTGAAGGTTGGAAACGATGTCGGGATCTAACTCGTCTGGGTGGCCAAATGATTTAGACATCTGATCTCGAGTTGGAGCGATCATGTGCGAGGGCTGGGGTTTGGGAGGGATGCGTGTAAACCAAGGATGTGATTGTATTTCTTCCATCTAGTATCACATCAGATCAATGGTGGGGGTGACGAGACGCGTCAGTGCTATGTGGCTGCATTGATCTTTGACGCGAACAAATAAAAGCTTTTCAAGTCCACTGACCGTAAGACGTTTCGTAGGATCTACGGTTAACATCCCCCGTATCAAATTTTGGACGGCTCCAGAGATATCTGAAGGCATGTTGAACACCCCGATTCTTACTTTTGTCAATAAGTCGCTGACATTTTCATCGTCGAAGGGAAGTCGACCCGTCAACAGGGCAAATAAGATGACACCACATGACCATATATCTGATGAAGAGCCGTGGTAATTTATTCCAGCAACGATTTCGGGGGAAGCATAATGGGGCGATCCACATGAGGTTTCGAGCAATTTCCCAGACGCTTCCCATGCTGCCATACCGAAATCAGCTATCTTGATGTTGTTGGCCTTGTCGAGAAGCTGTTTCGAGAGGTTTCAATCAGTTCATTGTTCAAGAGGATTGACGGTCAGGTATGATCGTTCTGAAAGAAGCTCGCGTACCAGATTCTCAGGCTTCAAGTCTCGGTGGCAAATATTGAACCGGTGGCAGTAATCAACGCCTCGAATTATCTGCTGGAAGTAGTTGAGTGCTTCGTCTTCGGACAGTCGACCGCGACTGACCAGATATTCGAACAACTCTCCACCTTCTACGTACTCCATGACAAGATATCTGCGAATGAGGCGCGTGATTAGTTGAAGTACAAAGACCTTGAACCATTTTAAAGCAGAACATAACTCGGCCTTACATCTCATGCGAGTTTTCATAAACATCATAGAGTCTCATGACATTTGGGTGATCGATCAGCTTCATGATCACTATTTCTCTTTCGATTCCTAGAAGTCTCTTGTCGGCATGAGCGCCCGCCTGATTGATACTCATGCGGCTATTGGGAAGCAGATGCCTGGGCACAATCTTGACTGCTGCTGGATGACCGGTGACGGTATGTTTGGCAATTTTAACGCGTCCAGAAAACCCCTTTCCGATCGTTTTTCCAAGTTTCCATGGTCCCACTAATCTTGGATCCTCCTTTTGACCTCGGGAGCGCGCCTCTTTGCTTTTCGGATCTCTCAATCCTTGCCCCGCAGGCGGCCTCGATGGTTCCGATTTCCGCTGACGAGGCGGGGAAAGTCTCTCTACGGCAGACATTTTGATGAGAGTGCTCAAACCAAGATTTTCGAAGGTAGGCGGCTGGTGGCGATTAGGTATAGAAAGCTAAGCGTAAAAGACTGCGGTGCAATGCTGGTGACTTGGATGCGCGAGGACGGAACAGTTAGATACCAGCGGTAGGTGATTCAATGGTTAAGATAGACAATAAGACACTGTGTGAGTTTTTTCGACTGCCGAGTGGAATTGAGATTGGTGGAGTCGCTTTATTTTCACCTTAAAGAGTGTTGAAGGATGATTCAGTTTATAAGGCCAGTACATAGGAGACGAAGGGATACGAAAGCTGCAGATAAGATCACTCAAAGCTTAGCAGGAAGACTGAGAATGAACTACCGGTGGAATGAACTGTACTTCATGATCGGCATTGGATCATGCCAAAGCAGGGCTGGTCGGTGCGAGGGACGATGTCCATAACCCTGGTGCTATGTCTCAATCCCTGGCCACACCGCCGGGCCAGTCCAACGATGCCCCAAGCATCACAGGGAGCATTTTGGTCCGTCCGCCCCTTTCATCTTGGTGGTTGCTGATTCGAGGAAGAATGCCATCCATCCAACCGCATGCCAACTTGGATATATGTTTAAACGGGCATACATTGACTTGGAAGATGAAGACACCCCAGCAAATCGAAGTGTACTCCGTTTCTGTTTCACTCCAGAGTTCAACCTGCAAACTGCTTCCCCATGCGAAAGAAATGAAGGGCTTTGGGCTGCAGCATGAATTGGAAACTGTCGGACGCGAAGGATCCAATTTTCTCTTTGAATGAAGTCACTCCTCTGTGCCGGGAGGGGAACGCGGTCACCTTGAGACGGACAGGCGCCCTTCGCGCGAGGCGCGAACCTCCTCTCTGCGAGTCAGACTGCCAGTGGCGGGCCTAACTTAACGCAAGCCCCTCGATCGGATGGGCCTGTGCCAGGCTGGCGCGAAGCGCCCCCCGCGGAGCGAGCCTCCGAAGGAGGGACTTGTGAACAAAGTCGGCTTTCTTGTGTGGAAGCTGGCATCAGTTAGGTGGGGAAATTCTTGCTCGCAGACTTGTGTCATCTTCCAAGTGGAAATTTGACCCGCCTGTTTGACCATTTGAGAGGCCGGCTTCTTCTGATCATTTCCGTATAACTCTTGGGGCCATGGGCCCTCACCTGCCCCCATCAACAGCGTTCCACAAAGGCCGTTTGGCCAGAAGTTTCATGATGGGCCCCAACTATGGTCATAGAGATTCCCGTTTCTTCCCAGAGATTACCACTGTATTTGGACCAAGTCCCCCAATTGGCATCTCAGGGACGGATGACTTATACTCACTACAATTATCAAAAAATTATATGGGCAGAATGGGAAGAAGCTCAGGTATCCGAAGAAGTTGACGGCATCAAAATCATCCAGATTTCTCCTGAGTTATAGGGGATTTTGTGTGCAAAGGCCAAAAAAAGCCACAAAAAGCCTGAGCTTCCAGGCCGATGTTTCAACTTCACTCCCAAGCCCCTCTTTCAGAGGCTCGCTTCGCGAGGTGCCCCCGGCCCTCTGGAACGAGGGGATTGTGTTAAGCTAGGTGGCGGGCTAGCTTGACCAAGTCTTCTCCTCCAGGCGTCCCGGGAGGGCGGGCTTCTCCCGCCGCCAGTGCCACACAGGCCGCAAGCTCCCACAAAGGGAGATCTGGGTAAGTTCGCTGCCAGGCCCTCTCTTAGAGGGGCATGAAGGTCCCGGACACCTGGAGGGACGGCTTCCCCACCCTCCCCTCCCCGACAAAAAAGGACTTGATATCACTTCTTTGCAGTCAATTCCCATATTCTGCATGTGTATGCCAAGGTAGCAATTATTGCACAACAGGGACACTTTTTTACTTTTTGAGGTTGCTTTGGAATTCAAGTCAAGTCAAGCCATCATCAGGCTCATGACTTGAAGGTTCCTGGAGATATTCACAAGACAATCATCAGTATCTAGCCACAAGCCTTTTGGCTTAGCTTTACTGAAAAAATGAATGAAATCAAATCATTGTTTTAGTACAATAAATTTTTGGAGCCACAACCTTCAAATTCTGGGTGCAACGAGGGGGAATGGGTAAAGCTGGGTGGAGACAGTGACTGATTAAAATATTCTGATCTTTGATGATGTAACTATCCTGGAACCTTTGAATCAGCATACTCAAGTTGTAACACTAATGATTACATTAGTGTGGAAAGGTATATTTGGCTTTGAGACCTGATAGTGATAGATAACCTTAATAGGAAATTATATGTATATATAAACATCTCTATATTGGAAAGTATAGTTAATAAAAAGTTCAATATATTCATCAGAATGAAGCTGCAAAAATAGATCAAATTCAAGATTGACTAGCTAATCTTTTATTCAAATTTATGATAGAGTAAATGAAAACATCATTGAAAAAACTTTCTGAGTCTTTAGAGAAACTCAGAAAAGGAAAGAACACTTTGAACAGGTCTTTATGAGTTACTTTTAAAATGCAAATTAAGGATCTTATAGAATTCCAAAGTGTTTCAAACATTTCAGAGTTGTATTTGTGATCCTCTTTAACAAGTGATTTTGGATTCAAAGTCTTTCCTTGCGGTGGCCCTTCATTCCCTAAACGAAACCTGATTTTGCCGTGTTTAACAAAACTGATGACTGCAAGCTTGAGAAGTGAGTTGTCCTTTGAAATTCCAAGTGGCTGGGTTGCTTTTCCTTTTTGAATGATGGTATCAATCATATCAATGTAGAATAGAAATAAAAGGAAGCTCTTTTCAATTGACATTGCGTGTTGATTAGATCCGGGTAGGAATTGAATTGTTGAAAAATCTATTCCAGTAGTTTCACCCCACAATTGATACCATAAGTTTTTATTTAACCATATCTGTCCAAACGAACTTTCTAGTCTTTTTCTTTGATGGCCCATCCTTGAATATTCATCTACCGTTAAGCCTTCATAGTCGGTGGGAGTTCTAGGATCATTTGGTTCGAACCTCGAAAGTTTGTGGAAATAATTTTGGTGGACTTCTCCATACGATATATCCGAAACAAGGAGCTCTTTTTTGGCAGATTTTTCTATTAAAGTTCTTATCCTCTTGATTTTCAACGCGTCTAACCCAATTGCATCACAGTTTTCAAAGACATCCATATCAAACTTGAACATTTTCATCTTTTTTTCATGAGGGTTAAGAGCTGCTTTTGCATCAACATTTGGATGAGAAATGGCGCGTAGATAAAGATTGATATCCGCTTGCTCCACCATGATACTCTGAGGTTCTGTCTGGAAATCAACCATTCTGCCATAATTTCCTCCTGTTTCTAATGGAAAATTGGTGTGCCGTTGGTTCACTTGATTCGCAACATGACTCGAGGTTCCTATATTGGAGTGGTTTTCTCTAAATTCCATCTGGGCTGTCGGTTCCGATTCTATTGGAAGGTAGTCAAGCAGAATGTCCCATTCTTTAGAATTGTAGTCAGGCGTCTTAGGGTCCATGAAGTGATCAGTGAATCTGAGTCTTTTGTATGATGGGCTCTCTAGATGAGAAAAACTTGAGGGTTCATTGATTTCATTGATTGATGAATCATAGATGCTGGTGTGATCAGGTGGCAGCGAGTCTTTGCTGAGCGAATCAAACGATAAATTGGGAGAATTCGCAAACCACGCCGGAAAAGGTTCTGAAGACTGAACTTGAAGGCTTGGTGTTGAAATTGGGTCCACCGTGTTATCCGCAGTTTTCTTGTACCTGCGCCAGGTTTGATGGCAACGAACTGCTTCATTTCTCTCGCTCTGTGGGGTGTAAGATATATGGTTTTCTGAACCATCCCGGGATGTGGTACAACTAGGAGCACCTTCAATATATCTAGGAGATTTTTCCAGGACCTCTCCGGCGACGCTTGAATAAGCATTAAAATTTTGCAGCAGCTGTTGATTGCTTGTGCCTGAATTGAATTCTTTCAACCCATTTGGTAGAAGTGGAGGCAGGGAGGCCCCAAGATCGATGTCGTTGGGAACATTATCCATACTGAGTCCATTTCTAAACGGCCCAGTTTGTGCAAGTTCGGTGCCAGAGGATGTAGGGATGGCTAGAGTTGGAACCTTCAGACGACGTTGGGCTTCAGCAGGTGCCTGAGTGGAGTCAAGTAGTCCGCTATTCAAATTAGGCGGCACATCGCCCCAGTCAAGAATCTGGTGAAAGGGATCGTATGCTGGACGTTCTAAAGCTTTACCAGCAATGCTAAGTCCCAAATGAGCGAGAAGGAGATGAGTACTATACTTGAATGGTAACATTTTACCAGTGTATAAGTTAGTGACTGAAGCGACACCTTTGCCTTCAAGTTTTGAAATACCCTGGGAGGTATTCAAAATCCCAGATGCTCAGTTTAATTTATTGAACTTTGCAGTCATTTCAAACCAAGTGGAGGTGCCTTCCCAAGATAAGGGCACTGCATAGCTGACGAGTGAAGTTCTGGTAACTTGAAGCTTGTTATGAAACATGTTTAACCATCCAAGATCAAGGGATTTTGTCGACAAAAACTCGTGCAAGAGAAACTCCGACGACTCTCCGAATCCATCATCATGATCATGTTGCATCACATGCAAGCAAAAGAGAACTAGTGAGGCTAGAAATTAAAGAGACGGATTTTGTTCGGGCTTCCACCTCACTTTGCTCTCTGGAATGATTCTCGCTCTGGTTTGGGGGGATGCCTGAAGATGCGCATTCCAAAATGCAGCTCTGCCTTCAAAACCACACCTCATTCATCAACCGACCACCGCACCCCCGGCATAGGAATGAAACATGAACACTGGAACAGGAAGGTACAAATCATGATGAATGGAAGGTGCAGAAAATTTTCAAGATTCAAAAATACTGATCCTATCAACTATAAGGTTGTATTCAGAGGGAGTTGTAGTATATTCAATGCCCAGTACATAAATATTTGGAAAAGATGATAAAAGAGATGAGACACTCAGGTGTTGCTTGCTGCTTGAGGGATGTTGTGATGTGATAATTCTAAGAATCTAGGCAACCATGACCCTGGTTCAATGTAATTCTGCACACAAGGTATTTGTTCAACCCATGTTTACCTGGAAAAAAATGTGGAATTTTTATAGAGCTGCTTTCATTTATCTCTTGCTTAACCTCACTATAGCCAACCAGTAACCTATCTGTATCCCCCTTTTTGAAGCATTTATCTATATATTTTTATAATTTCTAAAATTCCTCCACAATTGAAATAGTTCCAAACACATATCTCATATTTGTTCAAATGATGATACACACCCTTGGTATCTCAAAGAAAGACAAAACTGTAAGGGTATAGCCCCTTCACTGATTCTTATAGAGTGAACTGTGAATTGTCAAACTAAAGGTTGTATTTCTGATGAGCCTAGGAACAAGACAAAAGAAGAAATGCAAGACACAAAGAAACAAAGAAAAATATAAACCAACCTAAAGGCAAACAGCGGACTGATGTGGATCACAACAAGCAACAAGAGCCAGAAAGGAACAAGGATAACAAGTACAGGCTAAAGAGAAGGGTTAACGTGTGTTGCTCTTAGATACCAAAAGAAAGAGGAGACTGGTGAACCTACAACAGCAGTACAGCAGTAAGACCAAAGTGAGTTCTTAGAGATTGGCAAAAGGGCGATAGGAAGGGAAGCACGGGTCTTGTTGGCAAGTTTTTTGAAGGAAGGGAAATGTGTGATGAAGATAATAAAACGGGAAATTTGACAGCAAGCTTTGTCAGGTGGCAGAACTTCAAGAGATCAAGTAATGATGGTAAGGATGAGATCTAAGTAATTTTAGGTTTTACTTGTAGTTAATCAGCCTAGAGTTCCACAAGGAGGGAATTGAAGATGGACAAGTCGGAAGTTTAAGTATTTGATGAGTTGAGAGAAGTTTGGACCAATGATGACATCATTGGTCAATGCTTGGAAGTGCTTTGGTCAATGATGTCATTCAGAAAAAGACTGGAAGAATTAAAGTGATGATGATGCAAGAGGCTTGAGTCTGAGTCAGACAAACCAAAAAAAATGGATAAAAAGAACTTTATAGCCGGTGCCCAGCTTGCCAGGGTGCCACCAGCCAAAGGCACCATGCTTTGGAAGTCTTGCTGGTGCCCCTAGGCGCGCACCTATCAAAAAGGTGGCACCGTTGTGGAACTACTCTTGGGATGAATAGAGCTGGAGAGGGAAAGATGCTTTAATGGGCTGCCTCTCTGGAAACTGGTTTGAGTAAGATAACAAGAAAAAGATAAGAGTATGGACTCTTAAGGAAAGGTTTGGATTTGGACTATTCTTGAGATGGGTATGTCTTCTGTCTTCTGGTCTTCTGTCTGAATAATACTATTATCCCAAATGTTGATGGGCAACTACTAGGCTAATGAAGGGTGATCAGTTATCTGAATTGCTGGGGCAGGATCTGATGGGGAACAAATGAAGAGGGGAAAACAAGGCTTCTTATATACCAAATCTGGGGAGTGGCCAGCTTGTGGTTGGAAACACCATGGAACAAAATGGAACAAGAGAAAATTATCAAACTGAAACAATGTGGCCCAATTCGTAGGCACTAAGATAAATGGGGAAAATGACATCAGAGACATGCAGGGATGAAATGTGCCACAACCAATGAGGGAGGAAGAATATACCAAAAAGATAAATGAACTAGCCAAATGTGTACTAGTGTGAGACATGCAGATAAGCCAAGAGGAATAGTGTGAAACAGTGAAATGTGGCCCAAAGTGGAAATGAGGCTAGAGTGAAAGTGGAATAGAATGAAACACATGCAGTGGCCAAGTGTGGAAGGCTGAATGGGGATTGATGATGTAAGACTGCATAAGATGATTATGTAATAATGAAATGAAATGAGAATCCAGAGTGTCTTCTGTCTAGGGGGCTTGGTCTTGTGACATCCATGGTGTTGCAGGCTGGCTGAATATTCCAGAAGGGCCGGCTTATCTTGAGCCTTGAGGGTCTTGTCATTCAGAGGGCTTGATTATGTGCTTGAAGCTTTGATTTTGTGGGCCTCTTATTCAAGAGTGGTTTACCACACCGTCAACCCTACTCTACATATCATGATATATAAACTGTCTTGATGTTCTGATAACATCAAGGGGCAGAGCTTGTACCTCCACTGTCCCCATCTCCATTCCGCAAAACAGTTTCACAACCAGGATTGAGTCCTACAATGGTATACTACTTACTGGCAATAAGCCTCAATCACTTTAAATGTCCAGTCTCCTCCCAGATTTTTATAGCCATATGCTTTGAGCTCCATAGTGGGAACCCAAAAACTTCAAGGCACAAGAGTTTGTGGAATGGTGGAAAATGGGTTTCACAGAATGAATATAAAAAATAATAATAAAAAACAAGATTTGAAAATTTGTGAAAAAGATAAAAGAAAATTAACTTTTTTTGAAAACTTTAATTTTTTTGTTTGAGTGAAACGTGAACACACAGAGGGCAAGTTTTGAACATGAAAAGAATGATTATAAATGAAAAATATTGATCCAAAAAAAAATTGAGCATGGTGGGTGGACACCCTGCAGTCAAAATCAGCAGATTGCAGTACCAGAATGCCCGAGCCTAACTAGGCCTCCATGGCGGGAGCGGGAGCGAGCAGCGGAGCTGTCCACGCCAGTGGAGGCCTAGAACAGATGTGGCGATCCCCGTGTGGTGAGTTTTCAAAATTGGGCTTGAAACCTGTTTTTTTGTGTATTTTTCTGACTACACTCTTCTTCATCCACAATTATATAATTTCCTTGTGGACCAAGAAGGGTCTGCTTCTTGTCCACATTTCCCTGTGTTCAGTTTTGTGATTTTTTTGTTAATCATTTACAGAAAGGTTTTGAAAACATCGACTTTTCAACTCAGGTTGACTTATTTTGGTGGGCCCAAGTTGAGCAAACCCCACATTTGAGCTCAAAAAAAGTTCAAATCTTACTTTTAGAAAATCAATCTTAATTCCAGTTGTGGTGTACAACTTCTGAGTTTGGGCTGGATCAATAGGATCATCTAGCCCTTCAAGAATTCTGGGCCAAACATCCATAACCTTTTGAGGGAGCGTCATGATTGCAAATCTTGTGACGCTCCCACCAAAACAATCCAAACTCAGCACCTGAGTTTGGTGACCTCTGGCCCAAGTCTCCCCCGCAGGGAGTCCCCTTCGGGAACCGCCTGGCCAGCGCTACGATGCCAGATGCGCCCGCCGCAGCTGGAGACTTGTGATAAGTTCGCAGAATGCCACATTTCTTGATTAATGACCCCCTAGGCACCCTTTTTAAACCACCAAGTAGTCTTTTTTTCCCCAAGTTTTTGCTTCTTATTATTCATTCAAGATCTCATACAATCACTTTGAAGATTATATCTTTTCCTGAAAGAAATATTAGAGCTGCCAGTTTTTGTGATTTTCTCCTTTTTAGTTTTTACAAATTTTACAATCTTGTTTATCATTATTTTTATTTTTATTTTTTTTCATATTCATTCTTTGTGACCCATTAATTCCACCATTCCACCAACTATTGTGACTTGGAGTTTTTGGGTTCCCGGTGAGGAGCTCAAAACAGATGGCTATAAACATCTGGGAGGAGACTGTCCATTCAGTTCCACCAATCCCTGCAACAATCCTCCTCTTCTTAAACACTCAAGTGTCCATCAGATTATAAGCATCCTCACTTGTTTTTTTTCTTTTTCTTGGTGCATATATTGGATGACTGGAGGACTTCCCGTTGTGGTCATTATTCCTGTGTATGAAGGGAGAAAATTCAAAATTTTATTATTTATCAATGAAGGACTCAAGATATGGACAAATGGACGTCAGAAATGGAATCTACGGCCAATTTAACCCCTAGTCACTCACTGGAACCACCTTCATATCTCTACTGGATCAGAAGTTACGCAGAATCAAGGATGTCACACGGAGAATCACAGGATCAGAGGCACTCAGCTGGAGGGTATATTGCATGGGGGTATATTGCATATTGCATATTGAATTCCTTTTATCCATATTGAATTCCTTTCATTCTTACAGAACCACAAGTTGGCCACCAGTTGTACCAGTTAACTTCCCATTTATTCAGCCACAGAACACATGAATTCCTTTCTTACAGCTTACATATAAAAGGGATGCATTGTAGATAGTCTAGCCAAAATCCCTCAGGATTTTCAAGGATAGGGCAGCTAAAATGCCTCACACAGGGGGTCCCTTGGGGCTAAAATCTCTCATATTTTACTATATAAGGAGGCCTCTGCCTGCCAGTTGTTTCCCTCCTCATCCCACTCAGTACACATTTTTGGTGGGACACCTGTCACAGATTATACATATTTATTACACAAGAAGTTCACGAGTAGTACAGTTCACAGATTGAAATATATACACAGTTCATTTCACAAACATTACACAGAAGAGCCAGTCCTTTGTTCCAGTCCGGGTTGAAGCATAGTGCTCCCAGACCCTTTGGGTTCAAGAACCACCTCTATTACATTATACATATACAGCATCAAGGAAGAGCACGAGTATCAAGACATCAACACAAGAAACAACATCAATAACTCAATCAATTCTTTGGACAACAAGATCAACCTTCAACAATTATACAACCATCTTTGAACATAATCCATTATCACCAACCAAACTGCCAAGCTTACCTTGGTGGTCTTGTTTTCTGATAATATAGAAAGGCAGAGTTTGCAGCTCATTTCACCCCTTTCTCCATTCAGCAAAAAGGATCTTACAATCACTTTTTGAGTCTTACACCGTCAGATCTGGGACCCTCGCAGAAGTCGCTCTAGACCCGAAATCTCTTAATTCTCGCAGAGAAATTTGAACTTCGAGGCTCTAAACCGGCTCTGGAAGACCTGCAGATGTTGACGGGAAGTCCTCCACTTCCCGTCAAAATCTGCGGGTCTCCCAGTTTTGATTTAGAGCTGCAACAGCTAGATTTCCCTGCAAAAATCTAGACGTTTTGGGTCTATGTAAATCCCAAACTGCAAGGGTCCCAGATCCAACGGGAAGTCCTCCATTGAGGCCATATTGAAATTTGAGTTCCAAACTGCAAATCATATTCCACATTAATACACACATTCAAAAAAAAAGAATTGTAAAATCATGGAAGCTTGATGAAATGCATAAATTTTAATGTTTGGTTTTAGGGAGGTTTATTTACATTCTGTAAGGAAAGAGTGGTTTGATGTTGAAAATGTTGGACAGCCTATGCACCATGTACCGTCCACAAACGATCCCAAGAAATGCCAACCCGAAGCAGGTACAGCAGTTCCCAGAAAGCTTGCGTTCGCGAGCTCCTGGGATCTGATTTTTTTTTATTTTCTTTCCACTTTTTTTTGCGCCTCGTAACCTGTACACATGACTGTACAGGTTGTGAATCTGCTGCCGAGGCCGGGTGAGACCTCCGTGGTGGGGGCTAGGTACACTTGATGTGATGACGGCTTCCTACTCAAAAAAATGAGAGGAATCCAATGGTCCAACTCCCGTATCTTCAACTTGAAAAATGGGGGAGTTGGGCCATGATGCCTGGAATATCATGGCTGTATGAGGCCACGTACAGGACAGAAAAGCAAAGAAAAATCAAGGCACAAATAACAAAAAAAAATTGGGATCCCAGGAGCTTGCGACAGCAAGCTTTCTGGGAACTGCTGTACACTGTATCCCTCATCATTTTCCTCTATAATCATTCTACACACACACATGCACTATAAACATACACCAACAAAGTCCACCAAGAAGGAAGAACCCGATCAAGACCTGACTGAGAAGTGATGTAGTTTATAAGAAAGCGGGGGGGGGCTTGAAAAAAAAAAGAAGATTCTTGTTATTACATAAGAAGAAAAAAAAAAGGACACGACTATAATATTCAGAAGAAAAGAAATTGAAAGGAAATGAAAAGCATGTATGTGGTTCAAACTAGTACTGGTCACCAGAAATAATAATCGAGAGGGGATCTGAACATTAACTGGAGTTTATAAGGGAAAAACAAAAACATAACAAAAGGAAAACTGGTAGGAAGATGAGAAGGAGGGTTGTCAGGAATAATCAAAGTGTACATCGTAGCTTCTTATCCAAATATAAAAAAAGAAGAAGAAATCAAACCAATGATAAATTTGGTTATAAGCAAGAGACTTGAGGAGCTTGTTCTATCCACTACACATCGCACAAGCGCCGGGGTTCTCTAACGAGCACAGCAATTGCGCCTGTTCCAACTCTCTTTCCTCGGCCCTTTTCTTAGCTTCCTCGAAGCTCAGGGGGGCCTCCTCGGTTGATGATTTGTTGGAGCTAGCTGTGGTGGGGGAGGGCGCGCCTGCGGATCTAGAGGCGACCGAGCTGGGCGGGCCGTCGGTCGAGACAGAGGACGGGGGCTTAGTGTTCGAGATGTCGTTCAAGGGTTTGGTGAAGCCCTTGTTCGACGGTGCCGATGAGGGCACAAGCAGCGTCGCACTCGAGCTGACAAGCGTCGCCGCCTTGTTCGCCGCCTTGGCTTCATCCTGCAGCTTCTTGTCCACCGTGAATTGGATGGCGTTCGCAGCTGCTCGCGTTCGAAGATAGTACATCCCCGTCTTCAACCCTTTCTTCCACGCATAGAAATGCATCTACCAAGAATAAAGAACAGCGTTAGCACATCATTTCAATGAAAATAGACGGACAAAACCAGTCGACTCACTGATGTTAGTTGTCCAAAGGTTGGAGCTTGCAGATGGATATTGAGCGACTGAGATTGGTCGATGAACGCCCCACGGTCAGCAGCCATGTCAAGAATAATCTAAACAAACCACATCGATCGTTAGCACTCTCTTGTGAGATGGGATTGATGAGGAGTCAGATGCATACTTTTTGGCTGATTTCCCAAACGGTCTTGTACACAGCCTTCATCTCGGTGGGAATGTTGGGGATGTTTTGGATCGAACCTTGATGAGCGATGATCCTGTTTTTCATTTCGTCGTCCCACAGTCCCATCTCAACGAGCTCTTTGAGTAACCATGGGTTGACGATCTGGAACTCTCCGGCCAACACTCGCCTTGTGTAGATATTCCTGTTTTTGGGGGTAGGATTCACATTAGAACAGGACATTCCCAAAGACATGCACGGCCTTGAAGTGCACTTACGAGGTGTATGGTTCAAAACACTCGTTGAAGCCAAGAATCTGACTTGTCGAGGCGGTGGGCATAGGGGCGAGTAAAAGTGAATTCCTTATACCAGTGGTTTTGACCTTTTCTTTCAAGCTATCCCATTCCCACAAATCCGAAGGCTTTACGTTCCACATGTCAAATTGAAGGATACCTTGACTTGCAGGTGAGCCAGGGAAGGTCTCATAAGGTCCCTCTTTGATTGCCAACTCGTTGGAGGCCTCCAAGGAAGCATGATAGAGAGTTTCGAAAATTTGAGTATTGAGTTTCTTGGCTTCTGGTGACTCGAATGGTAGCTTAAGAATTTGGAAGGCATCCGCAAGTCCTTGTACCCCAATACCAATCGGACGGTGTCTCATGTTTGACTTCTTCGCCTCCGGTACCGGATAGTAATTGACATCGATGATTTTGTTTAGATTGTAAGTTACCTCCTTTGTGACCTCGTGAAGCTTGTTGAAATCGTATTTGCCATCAACGATATAAGTGGGTAAGGCGATCGAGGCTAAATTACAAACAGCCACTTCGTCCGGGGCGGAGTATTCGATAATCTCGGTACAAAGATTGGAGGATTTGATCGTTCCAAGGTTCTTTTGGTTAGATTTTTCTGAGAAGCGCAAGACGAATAAGTTGACTACCCTTCGTTCTTACGGAGGCTCAATGAGCCAAATCTCAAAACTTACTATTGGCCGCATCTTTGTATAACATGAAAGGGTTGCCGGTCTCTGTTTGAGCTTCCAAAATCGCGTACCACAGCTTTTGGGCTTTGACCGTCTTCTTAGCTCGGTTTTCTTTCTCGTACTTTGCGAAAAGCGCTTCGAACTCTTCGCCATAAACATCTGCCAAGCCAGGAGCTTCGGCAGGACAGAACAACGGCCAATCTTGGTTCTGATGGTTCAAGGCAGGGGTTAGCAGGAGCCAGTCATTCAAAGGAGATTTGATCTTACTTTTTCCACTCGAGACATGAAGAGATCAGGGATCCAAAGTGCATAGAAAAGGTCACGAGCTCGACTTTCTTCCTTTCCGTGATTTTTCCTCAGATCCAACCAGTCAAACACATCCGCGTGCCATGGCTCAAGGTAGATTGCAAAGGCACCGGGTCTCTTGTTACCACCTTGATCGACATATCGCGCCGTCTATGGGGCAAAAAAAGCAAAACGTTAGTGCGAGAGAACATCGGTGGCGAAGGTTGATCTAACTGACATTGTTGAACACTCGAAGCATAGGCACAATCCCGTTGGAGTATCCATTGGTACCAGAGATATAACTACCAGTGGCCCGGATGTTGTTGATGTGAAGTCCGATTCCGCCCGCACTCTTGGAGATCATGGCACAGGTCTTCAAGGTATCATAAATCCCGTCAATCGAATCGGACTTGCTGGCGACCAAGAAACAAGACGAGAGTTGTGGATGCGGCGTTCCGGCATTGAAAAGTGTCGGTGATGCATGTGTGAAGTACTAAACCCCAGCAGAGTCGATCAGCACCAAGTCGCTCTGAGTCAAAAGCAGTGGGGAAAAAAAGACACGTACTTTCTCAGACATCAAGTTGTATGTTCTGATTGCCTTTTCGACATCCATACCATGAATACCAACTGCCACTCTCATAAGCATGTGCTGGGGTCGTTCGGCAACTTTGCCTTTGATCCGAAGGAGGTACGATCGTTCAAGAGTCTTGAATCCGAAATAGTTGTAGTTAAAGTCGCGGTCATAGATCACTGCACTGTTGAGTGCTTCGGCATTAGCCTGGACAGCTTCGTAAGTTTCTTGGGATATCATAGAAGAGGGTCGACCATTGATCGGGTTTACTAAGTGCAGAACAAAGAAAAAGGAGATCGAGCGGGTTAGTTTTTGTTTGGAAAGCGCGCACTCCTCTTTGGAGACGGTCTACAAGAGGAAGCCAAGATATTAAATCCAACTGGATAGACGAACCATAAGTGTAAAGGTCTTCGATGACTTGACTGAAGAGCTTCTTGGTTTCTTTGTGAAGATTACTGATTGCGATCCGTGCGGCTAGGACGGCATAATCCGGATGACGGGTGGTCATATAGGCAGCGGTTTCTGCTGCCAGATTATCCAGTTCAACGGTCGTGACTCCATTGAACACCCCATTGATGACTTTCTTGGTTCTGAGTGGCGAGAAGCGTTAACGATGCAGTAGCTTGTGAGGCTGATGGGGGGGGGGACAAATAACTCACATCTCGATGGGCTCGACGTGAACATTATCAAGTCCATAACACAGCTTGTTTATCCGTGCGGTGATTTTGTCAAAGGCAACTGTTGAATGAAAACGATCGAGAGATTAACAGGCGTGTCAAGAGGTTGAGTACGGGGGAAGAGGAGATATCTACCTTTTTCGCGGCGACCGTCTCGTTTGTAAACCTGAGTATAAAGTCGAACGTTTCAGAGGATATCAGAGTGTGTT